AGCTTTGCATCATTAATTTGTTTAGATCACATGTTTTTGGTATCATGGAACAGTAATCAAATTTTGTGCAGCCTTGCAAACTGAACTCTGTTGACCGACTATACCTTGACAAGCAAAAGTGTTTCTTGTGATGGCAGAGGTTAAGTTTTAAGACTACTCAAAATTTTAGGGATGAAAGTGAGCTTGAACTTGAGAAATACGATTCTTAAGCATTAAAACACTACATAATATCTTTCAATATGTCAGATAATGACACACTTCTACTCAGACTTTGAACAGACATTTGTATTTCAGGTCTAAACATCAAGAAATCAAAGCATACCAGAAGAGATTGTTAGGAATAGGAAAACTTGAATGAGAAAAAATGTCCTAATTTTTCTTTGTCTTCAAAGCTCCAGAAACAGACAAATTAAGCCCACAAAAACAACTTATGGATGATTCTCTTAATCTTAGATTTGAACAATCTAGATCCAGGAATACTATGACAGTACGCTTTGATCTCATCAGTGTTATAATATTCATCGTTGATTGAAAATTTTCTCAATTGATCTGTTTCCTAAACAACTACTCATTCAGCACTTTGCGATTTCACGCAGCTTGATCTTGAGAATTCACGCCATCCTGCAAGCCAATCAGATACGAAACTGGAATCAATTTTGCCCCCGATCGATCGCGTTTTTCCGCGCCAGAAGGAGTCTATACTTATCAATGTTGAGTTCTAATCCACGCTCCTGTTTCTGATTAGCTGTTATGATTTTTCCTTATTGTTGTGTCGGGGGGGGGGGGGGAAGGGGGAGGGAGGTGGGAAGGGGTTACAACAACACTGAAGTTCAATCGAAAAGCGCTGTAATTCCTACACTAAGAAATTGTAATTATGAAGTCTAATGATTGGTGACACCGAGAAGACAGAAAGATCGAGGTAATTAACACAAGTTTTTTGGAAGCTGGTCTACTTGTGAAACACTGAATCCCTATAGGGGTTACAACAACACTGAAGTTCAATCGAAAAGCGCTGTAATTCCTACACTAAGAAATTGTAATTATGAAGTCTAATGATTGGTGACACCGAGAAGACAGAAAGATCGAGGTAATTAACACAAGTTTTTTGGAAGCTGGTCTACTTGTGAAACACTGAATCCCTATAGAGAATTTAAAGCGAGGTGACTGTGCATCTAAGCGTATGTATTTCTCAAACTCAAGTGTCCTTTGAGGCCGGTTCAGTCCAGTCCAGTCTGTATTATCAATGTTCAGGCTCTTGCTTCTCATGACCACTGAAAACCTCTGCAGCAGACCGCCTGTCTCGTAACTTCTTAAAAATTACCAGTCCAGTTCCCACGGCCACCAAGCAAGCAACGCATATCATTACCAAACCTACTACGAAGGTAGTATCAGAAGCTAGAGAGGTAAGAAGGTAATAGATAAGTTAAGTACAGCAGACAGGTATCAAGATATCATACAGACATTTTTTTGTATGGGTAGTTAAATCATCGCTACATCTGACCATCTTGAGCAACTCTGGGTTTATCTTTTTGAAGTCCAAGGATTGCTTGACTGTTTGTTTATTGTGTTATTTACACGATGCTGGTCTTAGGGCTGGAGGGAAATGTTGATGTTGGAAGGCTATACTCATTTTAAGGCCCGTGTTAGAGGTCTTTCCCTTTTCCGTTGTGGTACTCAACCGAAAATGCAATAATTTTGATATGTTGGCAAGATCACCGTGCTATTCCTCCAGCTCCAACATTTCTGCAGACCATCACAAACTAAAAGCAGACGCAAAGTCTCAAGGAACCTTTTGATGAACAAATCAGAGATTCTTTACCTATGCACGATAAAGGCAGTGATGCTACCTTTGAGGTTTTAAGTGATCTATCAAGATTGATGATGGTCATCTTTTCAAGGGCCTGATAATGAGAGGAGCTGGAAACCTAAGACCCACCCAAAAAGAAAAAAAAACAAAAACAAAAAGAAAAAAAGGAGAAGAAAGCAAAGACAAAAACAAAACAAAAAAAACAAAACAAACAAACATGACAGCCATCAGCGTTGAAGGTTGCAGGAAAATGGTCTTCTTTTTTAGGTTCTTCGAGCGCCGCGCGGCTACTGTAGTCACACCAGTAATTCACGCCGACAAAGGCAACCTCCGGCTTCTAATCATGATTTCGGAGAACAAAATCACATTTTGAGTTATAGGCGTGACTTAATTCCTTGTACAGTATAGCATATTTCTTCGGGAACGTTTTATTTTAAAGTTTGCGCACTCACCATTCATCTCGTCACTGGCTCCATCATTGCTTTTCTTCTCTTCTTTCTTCTTGCTAACAAGAAGGAGTGGACCCTGGGCCAAGGAATACGCCGCATCCATCTTGTGATCGCTAACTTGACGTTTCCCTCGGTTACCTGCAGGACACTTCTTCGCACACTGGGAATCTGGGTCGGTTGCGTTGCATACGATCACGTGGCAGTGAACAAAGACAAACGAATCAGTACCGATGAATTTAGCGGTGTCAAGGCTAAACCGCTGAAAGTTGATCGAGGGAGCAGGATGGTAGATCACAGAGGGATAGTTTGGACATCTAAAAAGAAAAATCCCAAGTTACAACCCAGTTTATATTGCTGTTTAGGGAATTCAGTCAAACAAATAGAAATCACTGCTACCTTTCTTCTACCTCTAAGTCGATTACACCTTGATCCATTTGGACCAAAGAACGAGATGTTGTCAGAAGAGGACCTACGCCGTGTTGTTCAACTTATTGATTTGTTTCGCATAATATTGCGTTTCCGTAATGCGCATGATTTTCGCGAAATTTTCGCATGCAACGTGGCAGGCATTAAAAGATAGCTGTTTTTGTACAGGGCCAGATTTTGCGAGAGCTATAAGTGCGGGTCATTTTCTATAGCGCAAATTTGGTGACCTGTCTTTGAAATACATTTCCCTGAAAAACAGATACATACCACTTACCAAAGCAGAACAAAAACCAAATGGGAGACATGAATAATAAATTTAATAAGTAGATGCTAGAATCATTGTAAATTTATCAAGGAGCTTTATCAAGTTTAAAGATTTTGATTACCTTGACAATTCACATACCTATTACATCCATTTTTAAATCACCGGTGATCCTTGCACTCTGAATGGCCCTCATTGGTTAGATTTATTCACAAATCGCACCATTTTTCGCTCTTAATTGCACCTTTTCCCAATCAATGAAAAAGCTTTACTAAATCACCACAACCAGTCAAATTTCAAGGCTTGTCCAAAGTAACCAATCAAATTCATTAAAATAAAAAAACTCGATCAGTGCTGAATCAATAGAATATTTGAACAGACTGAAAAATTATTGTGTTTGAGCGATTGAATTTTGTGAGTTCACGATGAATGTATTTCACTGTGGATAAATACTTGTGATATCAAATCAAGCTCGTGCTGCGCGCTCGTTCGATTTTGAAATCACGCTTATGATTTCAGACCAAATTACACTTCTCTAAGTTCAATTCTTCTTTTCACTTCTCTAAGTTCAATTACCATTATTAAGGAGAGCGAGCTCTGGCTCTAAAATAAAGTTTAACCGACACAAAAAGAAATAATCAAATACTTGGCTCACCCTTTTGAAATAAATTCATACTTCTGTGCATTTTCTCTATCATGTGTGGGCGTGGTATAACATCGATCAGCTATAATTGACAGCCGCTCATCAGTTATCACTGATACCTCCAAGAAAAGACGTTTCTTCGTCACAAAGAGAGGAAAATCCTCTTCCTTGTAAGGAATCTCAAATTTCTTGTCAGGGAACATATTCAAAAAAAGAGTAAAGTTCCCTTCCCCCTCTTCACTAATTATTACTTTTTTGTGGACTGCTCTCCAACCGACCGATGACACCACACCATGACTGGAAAAAAAACAGCTGAACTGTATTTTCAGCTCACGTATCTTGGCATTTTTGGAAGCTGTGGGGACTTTCAAGACCACGTTGGAGTAAACGACAGCCGTAGCCGTGTGTCTGCGTGTAGTTTTACACCCGATCAGCGGTGCCGTTAGACTGTAATAAGTGTTGTCTTCTTCAGCTTTGCATTTCGTGTCCAGGAGCCGGAGATGCTCACGGTTAATACCAGGAAGGAGGGTCTTAGGAATGTGTATTGTCATGTTGTTGCGGTTGCATTGTAGCCTCGCTGACGGATCTATATTCCAGTTACAAAGTCAATGTTAGTGTTGGTCGACGAATACGACTTTGTGATGAGTATGCCGAGAACCGATGTATTCACGTGCCGTGAATATGTATTATTTCGCTCTTAATACCCAAGATGTTAAATTTGGCGCAAAAATAAAGCAAACCTGATTAAAATTAGATACTTTGGTCGCTAAATAGATCAATTAGTCAGTCAGTATTTCGATCGTTCATTTGGTCGTTCTTTCCGTCCGTCTTCATTCGGTGGCTCGGTTGGTCAGTCAGTAACTCATCACACACATCATGTGGAAGTCATACCTAAGCAACCGAAGAGCTCCATTCGAAGCGAGATTTGGACAGACCACTCTGTCGGTCTTAATCTAATAAAACGTGCTTTGATCGGAGGGTACAAATGGTGGTACACAATACTGTCTGAGTCTTTATTTCCTTCAAAGACCTAACGATGAAAATAAATAATTGAACGATAAAACCAGAAAATAATGCAAGGAAGAGGCATATTTCTCTTTACACAACAACGAAGATGTTTGACATCTTTTATTGGGTTCAGAGCGAAACTGGCCATGACTACGACTAAGGGTCGAGATAATGTTTTAAATTAAAATAGGAGGCCACTTGGCATTGTTAGACTCAGTAAGAGAGGCCCGTGCATTTCCCGCCTTTGAAAAGTTTCAGATTTTGTGCCTCATTCTTTGTGCTTCCCCTACCTTTCATCAGAACCCTGTCTACTCAAAATTAAATAGTGCACTATCCTCTGTCGTAATAATAAATGTATTTGGGTCGTTACGAAAGATCAGGAGAAAAATTTGAAACGGCATTTGTCACCAAATCAAGTCAGAGCCTAGAGTCTTTGTGTATAATCATCCGCTGATCAAGGTTTCCCTACCATGCGTGATAGAAAAATACCTTCACGCCTGGTTTTATTCCTTTTTCGTCTCTTTTTACTAAAACTCTTTCTCCTCAAAGTTAAACTTAATTCGAGGCCAATACTTATACCAATCTGAAGATGAGCCGGAAAAAACCTTACCACTTCAGGGCCGTCTTTTGTTCCCAACAGAATAAAGAGATATTTAAAGACAGCCTCACCTTTGGCGGACTCTGATCGGATTGTCCGTAATAGTGAAAGTTCACTCCATCGTCGCTGTACTGCAGCTTATATTTAGTCACCCACTGGCCGTAACCATTTCGCCCTTGTGTCGCTATTCCTTTCACTACAGTGTACTTTCTAAGATCCACTTGAATCCACTGATTGGCAGCGGTATAGCCTGCTGACCATCCTCCCTGCTCTTTTGCACTTGCCCTAAAGTTCAACCTTCCAAACTTTGCAGCATGCTGAACGCTAAACTCTGAAGAGGCGGTGATTTGAGCATCTTTTATCCCTCCTTTCTCCATACCCAGAGGTGTCAAACACCCTATAAATCAAGAGAGAAGGACCTGAGGGTGTTTTTAAGTAGTTATTCAAAGATTGCATCCTCAACTAAGACGTCAGAATGGAATGCAAGTCAGTCAGTCAGTCAGTCAAATAGTCGTTCAATCTTTTATTCTTCCAGCATTCGGTTCATTCTTCATTTTAACAATTCGTTTGTTCGTCTATTCGTCATTCGGTCATGATCGGCTAGTCTAGTCTGGAAGACAGTAAGTCGCTCAGCCAGTCTCTTAAAGACTGAAAGACATTTAACAAAGTATTTCTTTACATACATAAGGTGAAATTGATACCTAAACAGCCATACAGCTCCATCCTGAGTGAGATGTGACCATAATAGGTTGCAGGTCTGAGCCTGATGAAACGAGCTTGAATCGGTGGGTGTAACTTGTGATAAACAATGCTCTCGGAGTCTGTATTTCCACTGAATCGCTAAATATACATAAAAAAATGTTTAGAAAGCCACAAACTGGTTACATAAATATCGGTTTATTGTGTAAATCGAGAAACACTTACAAGCTAGTGTCCAGTTGTTACGCAGGCTTTTTGACCGCGCGAGATCGAGGTTCGAAAATAGCGCGAGCTTTTAAAGTGTCAACGTGCAAAACAAACGGCTCGATACGATCGCACGATTGTTATCTGAAATGATGAGTTAGAAACAGTTTAACACAAAAAAGTTTCTATGTGGTGGAATCTAGGGTTTCCAGCTACTGCATTCGTAATATTCATAGGCCTTCTACGCCCGAAAAAGAGGTCAACCGAAAAGAAAACACAGAGGGAAAGATTGCAAAAAGCCGGGCGATTCGAAAGTCTACGCATGCTCAGATACCGATCTTGGCGTAATGTTTTGCGACAAAGGCAATAAGGATCTTTCGAGTAAGATTTATCGCGTTTCCTTTGGTGGAATTTCTTTAGATTTGCTGTACCGTTAAACATACTTGTGCCCTTCTTAGTGCCTGTTGGAAAAAGAAATTCATATTACCAAATTTGAGATAGAGGAAAAAAATCCCCAAAATTGCAAATAGCGAGGAAACTTCCTTTGTAACCCCTAATTTTTTCGGCTTTTAAATGATCGGCAGGACAAATTTCACAAATTGTGAAAATTTTGAGAGATTTCACGGAAGAAAATTGAAGAAAATCAAAGGCAAAGCCAAATTATCGCTGGTGAGCGCCTCCCTTTGTGGAACCTTAGCTTAATAACGAAAATCATTTTGATAATATCTAATACAGCAAACGATAGTCCTAACCTTGCTCATCGCCCTTTTGATGGCTTTTAGTGACGTAGAAAAGCGAAAAGATGAAAATTTTTTAGAAAAACAATACGCTGGCGCTTGCGCCAACGTCGAGCAAAAACCCTATGGAGCCTCCTTAAGTGAATAACAATTGTTTTTGTGGAGTGATAAAAGTTTCTGTACTCAGTTTAAAAATTTGGTAGAATAAATGTTAAGAAAGACAAATAGTAATCTTAATGTCACCGTTGATTAAAGAATTTAAAACAAGATGGAAATAAGAGACCTAGAAGTTCTAATTTTCTTATGTTATTTTCAAAAGCCTTCAAAGATAGCGCTGAACTAATTTTGTCCGGTATTGAGTTTCATAATTTCGGTGCAATGTTCCTTCACGACTTATGCCGCAAGACGAAGTGTTGGTCTTTGGTAGCTTAAATGTAAGTTCGTCTCAGTTTGTATTTTGAGTGTTTCTCCTCATGCCATTTGCCCCGTACCATTTATCGACATTGGCAAGATCTGCATTTATAACGTATTCAATTTTTTCTGGCATGCCGTTGGCATAAAATATCGCTGTTTCGTCTATGTACGCTAATAGTCTGCTCTGTTTGGCGTAGTAAACAAGGCCATTCATAATCATATTTAAGTTCGGATATAACACGCGCTGTCATGGGTTGAAAGAGCGTGCTCTATCAGAGTACAAAACATAGAGCTGAGCTAAAGCTGTCACGACATCTGCCAGATTGTACTATGTCCGACCATTTCCCAGACTTCTCTCTAAGCTTTTTTCGTTAATTGATAGCAGTGAAATTTCGGAATGACTAAGCAGGCAAGTAGCAACACAAGAACCAAACAAAGGTTCGTAAACATGCCAAGAACTGTAATTTACGTTAAAAGAACGCGAGCTGAGACGAAAATCCTCGAAGAGAAAACGAATGGACATGTAGTGCGAGTTTTGAAGGTTTTCACGCTCAGTTAGATTGCAAGCTTACGCACTGTTATACAAATCAAGGACAGCTAACACTCGTTCATAGTACAGCTTTGTGTTCAAAAACAGAGCAAAACAGGAATTATTATAAGTATAGCCAGACTGGCATAACTGTTAATATTAATTATGACGGTATAAGAGCGACTGTGATCATGCTGACTTCCATTACGGCTAGCTCATCATGGCGATCTCCGGTCAACGCTGTGAAGCAAGCCTCAGAAATTACATCGGCCGCCCTTCAAGTATATAGTTAAAAAACGAATTTGACTCTGCGTCAAAGTATAATCCTTAAAATAAATTAAATAACATTAAAAAGTTTCTCAGTCATATTTTTATACCAATCTAGTTTCTTTCACCTGCAAGGACCAGCAAACGCTATTTGCAAATAATGGACGTTTTTGAAAGTAGGTCTTGACTCAAATTAAGATGGCACTCGAAAGTAAATTAACAATAACTACGACTACGTCGGTTTTAAGCATTGCTTACCTTCGGTGAACTCTGTCCTTCTTCCTTATAATAAACAAAGGTAACTCCATCCTCGCTGTACTCAAGGTCATATGAGGTTACCCACTGGTAACCTATATTTCGTCCTTGTGTGGCTATCCCTGTCACAACACGGTATTTACCAAGATCCACCTGAAGCCATTGATATATATTATTTGTCCATGCTGACCATGCCCCTGTTTTGACTCCCAAGGCCTTGAAGTTCAACCTTCCCTGAACTGCGGCATGATTCTCATTATATTCTGAAGAAGCAGTGATCTGAGCGTCTCTTATCTGTCTGTTCTCCATACCCATTGGTGCTGAACACGCTTTACACAAGAAAAAGAGAAATACTGATTGGACAAGATAAAATGACCAACATGATTAAAAGTGTCAAAAACATATCTCAAAAACATATCTCAAAAACTGCCCTTCAGTAAAAAATCAATACAGATCGCGGTAACTTAGATAAACTGTAATTTATCTGGCCTCTTTAAAACAAGTACATCTCTCAGTAAACTGCCATCATAAATTTAAAGTGACCTTCGGTAACCATGCAGCTATCGTAAAACCAGTGTAGCTCTCCATGAACTGCCTGCATAAAGTCAATGTAGCCTTATTGTTATCAGTTGCGAGTGAGTTGGCAGTCCTCATTTGAACTAGGATAATGTAAATAACGTACACTAATCGAAAACACGAGATATGTTTACGGACGTTGAAAGAGATCAAAGGCACAAAAATATAATGATGAAAAAGATGAAAAAAAGAAAAAGAACGCAGACATAGTAATGAGCTGGAAAATATGGCTAGAATGATTAAACTACGTCGGCATGTTTACACTTCGTTTTTAACAGTGTACTATAATATATTTAACCTTGCAATAAAATCGAGCAATTAACATGACGTTATGGAATGATTTGTCGTTTTAAAAACAGAGAGGTGTCTAAAACTTTAAGCATGTCAAAACAAGGGGGTAAATAACGCATGACCTTCGCTGTACGTTAAACAACATGAATTGTTAAAGAATAGTTGAAGGTATTGATTTGAAGGAATCAGATTAGACGCACTGAAGTTGTTTGATATTTGATGCGATGATCCAGGCTTAGCAATGACTAAGTTTTATCAGTTTCAGCTTCGTAGGTTTAAATAAGTGTCAATTATTGAGTTGCCAGTAATCGGATCCTTGTGTTTGCGCAAAGATTTCTGGGATTGCCATTAGGCAAACATTTCAACTCGCTAGAGAAAAATGCATGGCGAAAGGTTATTTCGACGTCCAAAAAACAGTTTCTATGACAGATCATCGCTTTTTTGTCGTTGTTTTATCAGAATTGGGTGTGGGTAATATTGATACAAGAATAGCGCAGGGTTTTGTTCAATCAGTCGTGAAATATGTAGTAAAGTCTAACGATTAACTTTACTCCATGCGCAAGCGGTATAGTGGAATTCACATCGCGTGATGATCTCGGGCTGTTGAAATATTGGTAATAAATTGCTAAGAAAAAATCAATAAAGCTTTTTCACTTTCATTTACGTGTGTTAAGTCTACTTCTTGCCTTTTTTCTTGGCTTGGCAAAAAAAACCAACAAAAAAAAAACAAAACAAAACAAAACGCTGCAACAACTACCTCGAGGTAACAGGAGATTGTAATGGTGTCTTTAAGCATTAATAAATATTATCGTTATACATTTAGTGATGTAAGACCTACATGGTCTCTTTTTTGTAATCAATGAGAGCGAACCAGCGTTAATAATCGGCTCAAAACTAAACCTTACCTATGCGACGATCAATAGGTACAAATGGGTCGCTTAAAGAGCGATGTACAACTGAATATACGTCCACATTTTCTGCCAAACAAGATCCTCTAAGGACAAGGACTTCGAGGAGAAAAGTGGCAGCTCAAAAACCTTTAGATTTATCTCGAAAAATTATCACTTGACCTAAGGATCTCCTGTTGTTTTTATTGCTTATTTCATCCATCCAAAGAACAACAGCTTGGATAGTACAATTTCCATCTCCGCCGACGACGACTTCTCTCCTTTGAGGAAGTATATTTCAGGCATCGTAGTTTGTTCATTTAATACGTTAAAAAGTATGAAAACAGGCTTTACGCACAAAAATATAACTGAGAAGACTTAATTGAGTTATTTCCCTGCGATTCATGTCTAATTTTGTAATAATTATGTCGAGACCAATACGCGATGACGATCTCGCGAGGAGAGAACTTAATCGGTATATTTTAAAACATATTTCGTGGTAATGTCAACAAAAACTTGCACCTCCTCCATATCAACATTATCTTAATCCACTTGTGATAAAACTGCGGCGAAAAAGCGTTGATTTCTCTCCAAAATCATTTTTTTGGACGTCGAACCAACTTTTCGCCATATATTTCTCTCTAGCGAGTTGAAATGTTTGCCCCGTGGCGATCTCAGAAATCTTTTCGTAAACACAAGGACACGACTACTGGAAACTCTTTCAATAAAATCATAAACTGCAAGGCAGCAGAGAATATCATTACCCTCTCTAAAGAGTTATAGCTTTCTAATTTTGCTTTCTAATTTTGTCTTGTTGTAAAACCATCCCTCTCGGAAAATTAGAAAAAGCTTGTCTATTCCCTCGTATCTTTGCCAGAAGATATATAAGTCTTTCGACTGAAATTGGTCTCCATGCCACACTGCTTCGAAAACGTTTGGATTTCACAAGTTGTTGATTTGATGAAGCTAGGATAATAGACCTTTTGCAACGAATCTAAAGAAATCAACGATATCACTTACAAGATGAGGACGAGCACACAGGCGTAGCAAGGAATAACAGAAGCAGCATACTCACTAGCTTGGACGAATGAGCCTAAAATAGGTGAGAAAATATATCACTTTGGGAAAATGAGTTAGCAACTGGTGTTCTCTACAAAGCAAAGTGAAAAAGTTACAATACCATTTGAACTGCCATGTTGTAGAAAGCTCAGCTTTCCTGATATTTCCTGGTGGAATACTCTACCGCTCTTGCTTGCTTTGAAGTGATTCTTTTAGCTTCGGTTGGTATCACTTTATTCTACCAAAGGCCACCGCCTATGCTGAAAGGAACCTGAAATCGTGATAATGAACTTCGTATCAAAAATACCTGGGATGTTTACAATGAATGAAATATTAGAAGATCAAAAGAAGTCTTAACTTTTTATTGCAATTATTTTAACAGCGGGGTTGCCAGTTGTCATGCTCAGGAAGCAAGTTTTGCAGAGTTGTTTGAAGTTCTCTTGAGTCCTTCGTGATAATCGCAGTTTTCTTTGATCTCTCGCAGTGATTTTCTTTTCCCAATCGTCTTTTATGACAAAAAAGTTCATTAAAACAAGACTGTGGCCAAAAGAAACTTGGCGGATTTACTGACTCCTTTTCTGTGTGACACTCACCTTGCTGTTTGCACTTGCTAGATGTTATCTTAACGTCCCTGATTTGGATTTAAAATTGACTTTTTGCTTTTGCTGCGAATGTTTCTGATTAATTATTTGATTTATTTATTCCATCCCATTCCTATGTTTAAATCCTGCTTCCTAACCTATTCGTTGTTAACGTCCCAACCCAAGTTCCTGTGTTTTGTTTTTTTATTTTTGATTCCCAACTGCCTAAAAAGTATCATACGGAAAACTGGTCCAAATCTGATAAAATTATATTTTGCTGTTGCTAAAGCAACATCTTGAAATGCACTATCGTTTTTCACGAGGAGTCAGCTCAGCTGCTGATTGTAACTGATCTGCCAATGATCTTTACTTCCAGAATCGAGGATTCTCTGAAAAATGAGAAAAAAAAGGGAAATCTAGCGCCGAGTATCAGTGAGATCTTGATTGCCTGTTAGCATATCTCTGTCCTTACGAGGAAACCGATCAACTTTCGCTAAATCTCATCGTGGTTCTTTTAGCTCGTTTCCTTCCAATGGGAAATGTCAACACTCCAATTTTGCTTTGTCTGACCCGAAAAAAATATGGTACAAAGTTTAACTTTTTATGCTTTTTTTTAAAATTTTTTTTTAATGTTTCATGTTTATAAGAACTCACAGAGCTTTGACATGCAATAAGAAGCTAAACGTTTCTTTACAATTCTCGTTTACACGTCCAAGTCTTAAGTTTTTTTTTGTGGATTAGAACGTCTGGAGGATAACCCCAAGCAGTGCACATGAGTTTCCCGCTTGTTTCTATTTTTATAACTCATAATTGTCATTCAATCTCATACTTAACTTAGTAGAGGATAAGTTACAGAATAGTTGAGACCTAAGCATGTTCAGAAGGATCAATACTGGTTTCGACATCATGGCCTCCATCGACACAAAGATTTGTTATGGAAGGAGACAAATCTTTCCTAGGTGTCGCTGGACGGAAAGAAGCTCTGATTCATTTGTTGCATTGCGATCCAACTGACCTCGCATAACATAAATAAGATAATGAAGTGATACTTATACAAATGAATAAATTTATGAATAAATGAAGTCGAATTTCAAAAACCAGGCCAGCAAAATCATTCCAGCTATCCGATTTGGTGAAAGTGTCAATTGGGTGGCATTTCAAAAAGATGTGTCGTTATTATCTGCCTTCCAAAGCTCTGCCCGTTACAATTTTGAGTCATTCAAATTGCTCGATATTGTAAAGAACTGAACCACTAGATCACTATCTCCCATCACCATTTAGTTGGACTGGAGAGATGAACGTGAAAATAATACAATTTCTTTTAGCCGCTTTAAATTGAGTTCCCACCGCCTATTTAGCTGGACTCGGGAGATTGGGTGGCATTTCGTTATTATCTGCCTTCCAAAGCTCTGCCCGTTACAATTTTGAGTCATTCAAATTGCTCGATATTGTAAAGAATTGAACCGCTAGATCACTACCTCCCACCGACTGGAGAGTTCTTTTAGCCGCTATATATCGAGTTCCTGCATGATGAATGAGGTTTAAAGCTGTTTATTTTCCCTGTGACTATTTATAGCTTCTGATGGACTTTCATCATTCTTGCACACGCTCAAAAGATCTTACTGATTATGCCTTGCTTTTTGACTGTTTTACCTCTCGAGAAGTTTAATATTCGTTGGTAATATTTCTTTTGCTTAGGGTTAGGATTTGGTTTTGTTTCCAGAGACATCTTCCTTGATCGCAAGGGTCACACGGCACAGTTTTTGAGCCACTTTAAAAGAGGAGATTAGAGCAAATATGAGAGTAAATTACAGTTGTGCGTCTATGGTACGGTGATGAGAAATTTGATTACTAATTGCCCTTACGGTTTATCCAATTTTACACAACTCGACGAAAGCCACGAATCATTCCGTTAATTTCTGAAATACCAGCGCCAAAAACAAATATGAAAGGTGTTTTGATTGGTAGCTCAATAAATTATTACTTTGAGTCTAAGGCGACTAGAAATGGGTAAAATAGTTTTTTCATTACTTAGGGTTTATCATTGCAATACAAAATTAAACCGCTTCAGTCCAACGCCATTCATGATATGGCGTAGAAACAAGACATTAACCAAAGCAGTTGACCTCTTAATCTTAAATCTATCCCTGTGGCGAAAAAAAAACTTAAATACATTACAAATAACGTAATCAGTCGAAAAGATATTTTTGTCAGTAATGTTTTCGAATCCCCACCTGTTTAAAATATCTTCACTATGCGTGTTGCTGTTTCTCTGAATTTATTTCGACACAAAAAAAGCCACATAGGCTGAACTGAAAATGATTGGCTGCTGCATTGTAACTTGCTGACTTCAAAATCAAAGGACTATTTTTTTCAGCTCTGCTCAAGACTGCAGCGTCACGCAAGGTGTGATTTCAGATCTAAGAAAATTGGTCGAGGACTATGGATTGCGGAACAAAGGAGTGCGATAGAATTGGAAATATATTAACTGACAAAATATTTCATTTATGAAACACAGTAAACATGTTAAAGTACCTGCCTCACCCCTCCCTTGTAAGAAAGGAAAATGTTCATTATCAAGTGAGGTACCTGGAAAACAATTCAATGCAACGACTGTATTGTTTGAATATCTCATTGCGAAAGTTGAATATGCCTTTTTCAGATGATTATTTCCAGTTTTTTTTTACCTTGAGGACAAGTAGGATTCATGCAGTTGACAATCAATTTCGAAGGAACCTAAGTGCTCTTCGAATAACTCATCTTATGGAACTGTTTCGAGTAGACACAAGAAATAACAAAATATAAATAAATAAATAAATAAATAAATGACTTCCAACCAAAAACTACAAGCTCATTGAGTCAAGGATAATAAATATAATAGCTGGATAGAAGCAAGTAAACAGCCAAGAAAACAAAACATGAACCATGCACAACGAACGAACAGAAACCGAAACAGAAATGATGAAATTCCGATAAACCCTCACCAATGCTTCTTCATCGGATCAGTTTTTCAGAACATCTCGGTTTATAACTTAGTTAAATAAGGAATAAATCCACGATACCTTGTCCAATCAGTAGAACGTAAGAGTTATAGCAATTTCAAACATCAAGCCAGGTTAAAGTATATTTGTCTAATTTTGGCGAAAAAAATCTCCCATAAAAATGGGACATGAAAAGTATCTTTTCTCTTTTTTTCTGCAACCTTGCCTTTTCTTATTCAACATCATGGACTTCCTTTCCCATTGTTTGTTTGTTCGCTTCTTTCTCTTTAAGTTCCATATCATTTTATAACTCTTCAATCCCCACTCCCAACTCCTCACTCTACAATCATCAACGTAGCCTCTTTTGCAACAGATCTGCAATACCGGCATACAGTATTAACTAAACTGCGGTGTTGAGCAAAGTTTCGAGTGACATGACGTACTGGCTGCACCGCAGATTATCACAACTGCCAACTGTTTTGCTGACGGCTGAAGAATTCGATCATTCTCAAGTTACACTCACTTGCCTTAGTGAAGGAACTTCAATCGAATCTTGTTCAAAACGTATTTCTCCTCTAATTTTTTCTTAGTCATGTCGGGGATCATAACAACAGTTTGTAAAGCGACTTTTAATCCCGTGATCGCAACAGCAGTTTTTGGTGAAACCGTTGGATGGCTTGTGAATGCAGGCAGAGATAAAGCTGCCGAAAAGCTTCAAGATGGCGATGTTGCAGATGAAGAATTTCGTCGCATCATTATGAGTGAAATCTACGAAATGAAGCTCAAGCTAGACGGGGAATCAAAGAAAGATTTGTCAGCAAGTATCAGCCACTTTGAAGAAGGAATCGAGTTGTTGTATGAAGTACTTAAAGAAATCAGGCCAAGAAGGGATACTGGCGCTGATGCAGCACAAGCGGCGTGTGCGGAAGCTGTGTCGCTCACTGAAGGAATGCGAAACTTGGAGCTTACTGAATCTACCACAAGAAAGCTTGCCAATGCAAAGGATAGATTCAAAATTGCTCGTGAAAAAGCAACAGATGCCTTTTCAAATGAAGCGCTATCAACGTTCGACCGCATCTTAGCAATGCAGTACCGAGTGATAGCAACGGTATTAGAGACAGTAGACCACCCCACGGATGCTCTAACATCATGTAAACGCTGTATTGACGAGCTAAATGGTCTGCCAGTGGTTCAGCAAAGTCTTAAAGTACAACTCAAGACAGGAATCAGTAATGTAAAGGGTTGGTTTAGCCAAAAAGAACGACAGAAACTCATTTCCGGTGTTTGTCTTGTAAATCGTGTGGCTTACGATGTCACACGAACAATATCCGTTAAAGAACCATTGCCGCAGTGGCCTATGGTTGATACAGGACAGGAGAAAGTTGATTTGCTGCGAGACGAAAGAGTTACAAGAGCACTATGTAAACAGGGCATGGAGCACTGTAGTTTATCATGGATACTTGGTCAGGATGGTGTAAAGGTGGACAGTATAAATGATCCATGCAATATCGCTACCGACTCAAGCGGGCAATATATTGTAGCAGACAGTGACTTGATAATAAAGGTGTTTGACAACAATGGCAAGTTTGTGAAATCTTTTAGACTTCCTCCTCTTATCGATGACAATGGTACAGAACTATCGATTGATAGCTGGCCGGTTCATCTGGCCACAGACATGAACGACGACATTTATGCCCTGGTTAAAGAAAAGAATCGTAAAGACTCACACTGGATTTTTAAGTTTAACAAAATCGTTGAGAAGCATCTAAGGTTTCGTGTCAGGGAAATGGGCTTCGACTTTTACCTGTGTAAACTGTCAGTCAGTGATAGTGGTAAAGTGCTGGTACTGAAGGGTGACTGGAGAAAGGAATATTACATTGTGGATGTTTATGAGACCGATGGTCGCTTCGTTTGCAGTTTTGGAGAACAAATCTTGAGGAGCCCGAGGGACATCACTGTTACTGCAAGTGATGGCAGGGTTATGGTGGTGGAGCTATTTCCTTCCCGCTGTGTTCACATATTCAGCGAAAACGGTGACCATCTGGGCAAGTTTGATCTCCAAGATTCTTTACACCATCCAAATATTGCCTTTCATAAGGAAAGTCAACAAGTCATCGTGGCCAGTACTGATTCTACGGAAAACCTCCTGCATGTAGGAATTTACACCAAGGATGGTAAGTTTCTAAGGAGCACTCTTATCCACAAAGAGATCTTCGGGCTGCATGGGATTGCAGTGACCACTGAAGGACGTATTGCGGCAGTAGCTAAGTTTAAAGATAACACAGGCAAAGTAATCATTATTTAAAAGAAGCACTTATTTGTCTGCCTCTCTGTCAAGTTCATTTTACAGACTCGGTTCAGCTACATATGCTCATAGGGCTTTTAAAAACTCTTCTTTCATGAGGAATATACAAGCAAGTGAATTAGCTGACTTCTGAGTTTTTCAGGATTGTTAATTATCCAGGATAAATTGGTGCTTTGCTTCTCTAATCAGAAAATTAAAAAACACAATTGATACCATTCCTTATTTTTCCACAAGGTGTGAAGCAATCTTATGCTCAAGTTTCACTCGCAAAATGTAGGCGTTTTTAGCCTCAGTCTTTACTTTGTAATACAATGGAAAGCCATTGAACAGATGATATTTATTTTCCTTCGTAGACAAATGTTTTGTTATTGATTATGTAGGAAGCTAATTGATGGCTGTAGGTCGGCTGATGATATGATGCATATTTGAAAACCAGCCTTGTGGTTCTTAATCCTTCATCTATTTACATGTGATAGTTTATTCTCCATTACAACCGTGAAACATTTCCTTGTAATATGAGGAAAAAAACTTGCTATATCCAAGAGTACACCATCAAAAAGCTAAGATATTTGCTTATTATAATGACCTAATTACTGGATAATGTATGGATACTGTAGGGAAAAGTTGAATGTGATTCTTTTCTGCGAGTGAAAGGGTTCAAGAATATGAAAGGGAAATTTACTTTATAGATATAATTGAATCAGGGATTTCCTGCACCTTCCATGATTTGAGCATTGACCTTAATCTGTCTCTTAGATATAATTCACAGACATTTACAGCGAAGACATTAGTGTGCATACAGTATCTATTAGATTTACTCTAGTCTCGATTTTTTTCTCAAGTGGTTCAGCATCCTGGCTTTTTTATTTCTTTAATTTTTTTTAGGCTTTCATTTATAAACTGATTACATTGAATGTTTCAGTTAGTTCATATTTCCCAATCGACAATTTTATAACATGTATAAAAAATTTCCGATGTATCTGTGTGACATTGTGACAAATTAAGTAATCAAAATAGAAAAATGCTAAGTTTATTTCCAATTAAATTAATGCTATGTATCATATATAGCAACTGCTGCATGCAATAAGCTTTTTAGAAAAATGAAGAAAATAATGAGTATGTAATTAAAATTACTTAAGTAATAATCTGATTTACAAATCTACAGGAATGTTCATCTTGCTATCATATTTTGATTGGATCATGTTCCCTTTTGTATTGGAAAACATTGCTGATACTCTAGGGTTTTTTGTAGAAAAGATTGCAATAAAGCTCAAGGAAAGGCAATGTTTTAAATTCATTGCGCCGGAAAGATAAACGAGAAGAGAGTGGAAATAACTTGGCCTATCTATACCTTGCAAGAGTCTTTCGTCACGCAGTAGATCAACCTCGTGATTACGTGACCTCATTGTTTTGTTCATTTGATCGTCCCAGTTGTTTTCTAAATATATCCACTCCTGGTACTTTCTTGAAGCCCTCACACATTGCGAGAGACGGGATATAATTAAATTAAATTGAACTTGGAAAAGGCTATGAAATTAAAGGTAACCCTTTGGTTTAATGAACCTTTTCATTTTCTTGTTATCAAAACTGTAAGTTGAACGTTAGCGTTGACGTTAGTCTTAAAAATGTCGGTCATTTTAAAGGATTATCACTTCGTGACCCAGACAGGCTCGAAAGGAAATCACCTCAAGATTATTTATTTTTTGACAGATTAATGCGTCATACTAAAGACACAGAAATTAAACCTTGGCGATTGAAAATTAGTGAACTGAATGAAGACTGAATAATGTAGCAAGTTATCTAAGAGTTTATGACAAAAACCGCAATTTCCTCATTCCTCCGCGTTGACATCTTTGGTGGAGACTTAGTCTAACGAGAAATACATGCAGGAACTTAATTATGAGTTACCCCCTCACCATTTCTTGTCATCTCTAATTTATAATAAAGACAAATCTTTCGTTATCCGTTTAAAACAATTCTGAGTTGATAAACGCCACAAAAGACAAGAATGAATTATTATTGAATGGTCCTTGTGATTTTTTTGTGTTGTTTATCAGTTTGAGTTCATCTTGTGAGTCACGGCACATTTATTCATTGTCATCATGTGAGTATTCACATGTATTGAGTTTCCAATCAATGATCAGGTTTAAAGCTGTTTGTTTCTTTTGTGACTATTTCTAGCTACTGATGGACTGTTATCATTCTTGGACATGCTTAAAAGCTGGTACTGATTTTGACCTGCCTCTTTGACTGTTTCGCTCCATTCATTTTGCTTCCTGAGAAATTTTTTAATTCGTTGGTTCGTTCTCCTTGCAGCTGATAATGTTCGAGTAGTATTCAAAGACAACTTCTTTGACCTCAAGGGTCACACGGCCCATTTTTAGGCCAAGTAGAAAGAGGAGACTTGAGTGAATATGAAATTGAATTAAACTTTTAGATCTATGGAGCTTCAGTACACCTCTTAACAAAGTCAAGAGCTGCACAATGGACATAACAATAAGTTCTCCCCGGCAGTTTTGCCAAGTTTACCTAACTCAAACAAAGCCACCAGTCATTCCGTTAATTTCTGAAATACCAACACGTATAGCAAATGTAAGAGTAGTGTGAAGATTGGTGATAAGTTGAAAGAGTAACTCAGTAAATTTATTCCTCGAATCTACAGAGACTTAGTAGAGGTAAGAGGCGAGAGGTGATTATGACTTGGGCTTTATACAATGGAGATCCACTTCTGTCGGGGGCCAGTTTCAGTCGCAACGTAATTCATCATATAAAGCAGAGACAAAACATGTCACCTAAAGCAGTTGACCTCTTAATCGTTATCCAATCCTCGAGGTGAAAAATACTTTTAAAACATTTTTAACCTAACATAATTATTCTGATTACTTCCTTCGTTGTCGGTAACGTTCTTCGATCCCTGCCAGTGTTTGTATCTTCGCTTTTTCCTTGTTGAGGTTTCTGTTAATTGCTTCCGAATCTGAAACAGCTGCCTAAGCTGCAAACGGAAGGGACCATGCAATGTAACTTTCCAACTTTAAAATAAAACGACCATTATTTCGGTTTTGAGGTCAAAAGTAGAACATCACGTGGGGCGGAACTGCAGATCGAGAAAAATTGGTCGACGACAGTGAATTGCGGATTGATAAAGTACGTTAAAATTGGAAATATATATTGAAGCATTTAGACATTTATAGACTATGAAACATTTGAGTCACGTTATGGTGCTCCTTCCTCCTTCCTGCAAGAAAGAATAGCGTTCATAACCAAATGAGAGACTAAAACATGATTAGATGCACTTAAGAACATATGCCTCGAAGAACTCATTTTGAAAGATGACTATTTTTTTAAGTGTTGGGCACAGGATAATTTTATCTTCAAGTTAAATTGGACTCATAGAGATCAAAAACGAATTTTATAGGAATTTAAGAGCTTTTGAAATAACTTATCGTATGGAACCAAGAGAATATAAACTGCTTATGATCTCTTGATGGAACAGTTTCGAATTGACATAAGAAACAAATCAATAATTGGATAAATAATGAAAAAATGAAAGCTTATCTCAAGAAAACAGAACATGAACCTAACCAAAGGAACAGAAACAGTAACAAAATTGATGAAAGTATGATAAACCCTCACTAGTGCTTCTTTATCGGATCCTCAGGCACGTTAAGGCATGGTTACAACGTGAAAACGAGGCAAACAAATTATTTTTTCATTCCAGGCCGTTGTAGAAGATCAAATTTAACAAAATTCGGCGAGGTTATTACTATGTAAATTATGTATCATTCCATGCAATATCATTGCCATAGCAATCATAATTAAATTATAGTCACCCTTGACGACGCCCAAATTAATTACCTTACTTTGAATTGAAATGGGGCAAACCAAATCTTCAAGACTTGAATCAAGTTCGCCCAAACCGTATTTAGGAATAGTTAATTCATAAGAGTTAGCCCTGCAAAGGCGTCGGCATCAGCCATATGTCCGTGGATGAATAGGTAAAAGTCAGGAAATCGTCACGGCAGCAGTTTGGAGGGTCTTTACGTTAAATTCTTAATGGTTACGAGCTTTGGGATCAACATTGCAAGGCTAAAACAAGAAGAAGAAGTTCAGCAGAACTAACGTATGTTAAAATTTTTCACACTTGAATCGATTTTCTTTCCCCCATGGCGCAAAATAGGTCGTCACTCGACAATGTTCCGATTCGGACGCCATTTTGTTTCACGGCCGTTGGGAGACTGAAACAGAAACTTCGAATCCCTCTCCCCTGGGGAAGAATTTAATTGTATTTATGCCCTTTTTCTGGTGGATATGGTGAAATGAACTATGGACTAAAAAGCAGACTTCAAGATGGCGGTCGAATGAGAGGATTCTTCGAGCTCTCGAATTAAGATTAAATCGGGTCGTTTTTAACTTTAGGGTGCCTAACAGCCATTTACATTGTTCTTCTAGGCTACAAAATACATTTCAAGGTAGTGTTTTCTTAATATTTCCGTAATTCTTTAATAAAAAAATCGATGAAGAATGACAATGGTCCATTCAAACCTTCGTAGACTTTATATTAGTTCATGAATGGATAAAGTGGTCCGCAAACGCGGCTCGTATTACATGTTACATGAGCTCCTTAGTTTTTGGCGCGCAATTTGTCTTAAATTTCGAGCAGTTAGCTAGTTCAAGTAGCAGCGTGGAGAGTTCCAACTTGTGTTTAATTAGAACACAATATCAAATCCCATATCCTCTGCCAAGGCAACAAAGATGTCTTTAAAAATTGACTGTGCTTGGGCAAGAGTGTTTCTTAGAGAAACTAAAAGTTTAAGCAAAACTGAAAGGATTCCCGGTGAAGGAAATACAAAGTTTGCTGCTAGATTGCTGCAAGATAGATTTAGAATCTTCAATGAACATTTTCAAGAATACCCTGGGCTACACATAAAACGGGAAGACTTCATGCGGCATTACAGAACCATGGATGAAAAATTTTACAACTGGAGAAGTAAAACCGAAAAAGAAGCATACCTAACTGCATTTTCCTCAATGAACTGGAATGAGGGCAAAGTAATTAGTAAAGAAGGGAAAAAAGATCACTCATTGACCAGCTGCCAGGCCTGCCTTTTTATTCAACTCTCAATTACAATCTACCTTCCCTATAAGTAAGTTTTGCAGAGGGGCTAGGAAAGGACCTCTGACTGAACTTAACACAAATGTCAAGAGACAATGTCAGAGAGAACCTAAGGTCACAAAAAGGAAATTAAAAAGCATTGGGGAAGAAATATATGCCACTTACAATGAAAAATGCCAGGAAAACTTTCAAAAATCACTAAGTGACATTCTAGTGCTTGTCCCTGAAGTGGGTCTTCAAAAGAAGCCTTCACCTGCTGAAAAGAAAAAAATGAAGAGAAATGAGCGAAGGCAAACAAAAAAAGAACTAGAGACCAAAATGTCACAAAATGACAGTGCAGTTCACCTTAGCCTTCGTCAGTCTTACAGTTCAAGACAAATCCAAAGAATGGCCCTGTCCTTTGAAACCTTTGAAGAGGCCGAGGAGAGAGCAAAAACGACCCCACCAAAGGTCAGGGAACGATCCCACACAGCTTCACCTGCTAACATAGAAGGAAAGTTGGACCAGCTACTTGCAGATGTAGAGTCATGGCCTGATGGTCCTCCAAACTGGTCAGAAAAAGCCAGAATGTACAACATCAAAACCAAGGGAAGTGATTCGGCACCTGGCAATGGAGGGCAATTAGTCAAAGCCTTTTTAAAGTCAAAAAAAGTAGACATTACCCAATTTAAGCCCCCATCAGAAGTGCATCTCAATTCAGAGGATGGCCTTACAGGTAAAAAAAGTGGTAAATTTGTAACTAAGCCGACAGTGGAGAGTTACATCTCTGCAATATCATTTATAAGTGAAAGAAATTGTGTAATAGGATTGAACAAAATTTGATTTATTAATTAAAGAACAGTGAGATTTAAGAGTTAAAATTTAGAATTTAGAAGTAGAACAAGAAGGCCTAAAGTAATAAGAATGCATACAACAGTCTAAGTCAAGTTAATGATGAATATGTGACCCTATAATACTTTCATGGGTTTTTTTCATTTCTCTAGCCTCATGTAAGAAAAGGTTTGATTAATTTTCCAGGATTCAGGGTACGCAGAGCTATGAGGAAGCAAAAGGGGGGAGAAATTTCTGTGCCTGTGATGCAATCAAATAAACAACTCAAGCAAAGCATCCATGAGGGAATAGAGAGTGGCAAATTTAACATAGGAGAGCCAGTGATAGAAAGAGAGATTACCAAATTGGCTATAAATGCACAGGGAGAGATAGAGCAGAAGAAATGCCACTTGCAAGCAAGGAAAATTCCCTTCCAAGACATTAGAAAAGAAGCATTGATTAAAAACAAAGACCTCCTTCGAATAAAAAATGATGCATTTTATGAAGAGCTCAGTGAAAGTGAGATTCGTGCAGAGCTAGAAAAGATCAGTGAGGATATAAGGGGAACACATGATGAAATCAAACAAAGGCTGAAAAGCTTTCAGTGGAAGAGGCATTGGCTGATTTGGCATGACCATTCAACCCTTTCAAATTATGGTCACATGCTCTTTTGTGTGAGAGAGATGTATGACCCAGCAATTCATTTCTCTGATGCAGAAGCTAGAGTTCAATATGGAAAAGATGTGGATGTCCAGGCAACAGTGGAGAGGCCCTATCTGTATATGCTGGGGCAGAGCAGTTCCAGTATTGAAGATCAGATAAAATTTGTTCCAGCCAGACATGATGATTTAGTAAATTTAACCCAAAAAGTGAAAACAGAGGAGGATGTTGAAGTAGAAGATGAGATGAGATTCATGAATGGAGACAACCCTGCAGCAAACTTTGAATGCGGAAATCAGCATGGAGGGCATTATGGTTGCCCAGGTTGTGATGGGCATTTAAGCATGTGCCACGATCTAGATTACATGGCCCAAAGAAAGTACAGAACATTGACCGAACGGCAACAGCTGGTGTTAGCAGGAAGGAAAGGAAAAGAGGCAAAACAACTCCTGAACCCATTTAAAGATCTCAAGGTCAACGAGCTACGAGCTGAAATTGAAGCAAGAGGACTTGGAGATTCAGACAAAACCAAACCAGAACTTGCAAAAATTTTAAATGAAGAACTTGGAGGGGCAACAAGAATTCCAGCACTGTTGTTTGGGGATGAGAGTGTTTCTGTGGAAAGTCTCAACCTCCAGTCCTATGAGGTACTGTGTTTTGAAGCTCTTCACTGCTCCATGAATCACATTAAAAACATTCTGGAAGAAATCCCACATCACATTTCTGACATCGATACACTGATAAAACTTAAAGAAATACTGGCTGTCCAACTTAACAAAGAGAAAAAACGAGGAGTAGATTATCGCAAGACACTAATCTACTTAACTATAGCCCTTTACCAGACAACAACCCATGATGTGAGAGCTTTGCTGGCCACCCTGTGCGAAATGGTGGAAATTTTTTATGCCCAGGACAGAAAGAGGTCACCAAAGTTGATATTAAGGTTGCATAACCTGTGTTGGAGGCATGCAATTTTGTGCCGAAAAGTGATGACCCCAACTAGAGCCTTAACAAGCAGAAAGCTCTTTGGCATATACTTCCATGCATGTGTATCTCATTCCGCCTTTCTTCTTCGTCTTGCTTCACACCGTTCAACTAATGCAGAAATGTTTGAGAGGTTGTTTGAGGAGCTGACCGACATCACCAGGAAGACCTGGAACAACCGAGTTGAAAGCTTAGTGAGCAATGCAGTTCTGCATATGCAAGCAGAGAAGACTTCAGGAGGAAACACAGCTGTGACCTGCATCATCAGGCTAGGAAAGGAAATCAGCAACATCAGCAAAGCCCTACCAAAGCTGGGAAACACAGTTTTACCCAAAGATGTCATCAACACACATGCTAGGCACTGGGAGGCTCACCTTCAGTCTATTGCTGACTTCCTCGTACCGGGAGAAGGAGTTTGGTGGAGAGAAATTGAGGATGAAGACTGTATTGAGTTCTTTGATGGTCCTGAGGAAATTGAATTCAGGGAGCAAGGACCTTCCCTTCACCACTTTCGCTCCTCCAATATCAGAATGGAGAAAATTTTCCTTCAACACTGCTGGGAAGAATGCATTCAAAGCGGAATCAAAATCCCAGCTACCAGAATTCCCAATGAAGAAAACCATAATGGAGAAGAATGCATGCAACAGAATCTGCCAGTTCAAGATCAGTCATTTGAGAGTGATGGTGAATGTGAAGAAGAAGCTGAAGATACAACTCTATTAATTGATGAAGAAGAGAGTACTGAAAACCTAGAAAATAATCAGATTCCGGAACCACAGCAGCTGAGTGAAACAGTGCAAAATGAGACAGGTGAACCACTGGCTAAGAAACCAAAATTATCTGAAGATTTTTTACCATCCAGCAAAACAGCAAAAGCTCTTTCAGAGATTCTTGGCACAACCAAAGATGTTATGTTATATGAAAAACTTAAAAAAAATGCAACAAAAAATTCAAGCTCAAGATACCACAAAGAACACTTCTTAAATCACCTGGCACACATTCAAGTACAAGTTCTAAAGAAATACAAGGACATAAATGAAGCAATTACTGAGTGGTCAGCCAACTTCAAGAAAGTCTTAAAAAAAAATCCCACAGAAAACCACATGAAAAAAGATCCAGTTATAGCAAAAACATGGAGGAAAAATAAAGTTGCCACTGAGCTACTGAAAATATGGAAGATCACCATTCACCTTCCTAAATAAACACTTCAAATTATTCAATGTTTTAACGTATAATACGTGCTGATATTTTGTGATTTGCATAATATTTTTCCAAGCCCTGAAAATAATTAATATTTACAGTCCTCAACATTAAGTCCAAAGAAAAGCTTTCTTCAGTGGGTTCCACATGTACTGTAAGCATGAAAAAGCACCAAAAAAACTATTTAATACATACCATTTTGAGGAACTTTAGTATAACAATCCAACTGATAAATATGAGTATCCTACATGTATGTAGATCTGGAACATAACTGAAGGCAATGTAGCGTGGTAGAAATCTAAAAAAGAACAGCAACAACATGATTAATCATGTTGCAATGTTTAATTTTGTACAGCAATTTTTAAGTCATCAATTTATTTATGCTTCTAAAGGATTCATTGAACAAAATGAGCTCAAAATGTAACATTTGCCAAGTGCATGATGAATAATGTCGAGCAAATTAAATCTACTCAAGTGATTTTGAAACTAATGTCTGTATTGTTAGTTCTCATGGTTAACTTTCATATTAGGACTTTTGATAAAAGGGCAATGGTTCACCAGAAATCTTTTTTCAGAACTAAATCATAAATTCCTTTACGAAACATGATTTTAACTTAAGCTAACAAAATGCTTTTCTTCTTACAAATGTCCCTTTCTCTCCACGTTTGTAAGTTGGACCTTAACACAGGATACGCTGATCAAAAGAAAGATTCTCTAACAACACAAAACAATTTCAATTTCTCACGCTTCGTCCGAAACATATTGAATTAAAAAAGCGTGGAACTAAATTAACACCTGCTCGGCGATGAAAGTAATACGTAGCTTTCCTGTCGGTCAACAAACGCATAAAGCCTAGAATGATCTAGTCTGATCGAACTCACACTGAATTCAATCGAAGGACGCGCAACAAGCAACACCTTTAGACAACGTTAAAAAGGAAGCAGTGATAAAAAATTTCTTACCTACATATTCTTCCCAAGTGATTCCAGACCTCTAACACAAACAAGCCTCAGAATATAAGAGAGCGACAGAGTTTCCGAAACTTCGATGTGCCACAATGTCCGCCATCTTTGCCGCCATTTTGAAATGTTTTTCTCTACGCGCGATTGACTTCGCGGGGGGGATTTTATCATCCTGAGCCATGCCCTAACGTGCCCGAGGATCAGTTTCTTAGACCATTTCGGTTTATAACCTTGTTTGAAACATGGAATTAATCCACGAATTAAGTCTAATCTGTAGAACGAAAAAACATTGTGGGGGAAATAATTTGCCGAGAAAAGTACATGGAGAGGCTCCTTTTTTTTTTTTTTTCCTTGAAACTGCCTAGACTTGCCTTTTCATTTTTAACATCGTGGCCTTCCTTTGGCTTTTTTTTTTGTCTTTTTTGTTTATAGGTTTCTTTCTTTTTAAATTTTATTTCATTTTCTACCTCTTATGTCCCACTCCAAACTCTTCAATCCGCGATCACAACCGTAACCTCTATCGCACCGGTGTATTAACTAATTAAACCGCAGTGTTGACCTTGGTTTCGAGTGACACAACCGGCTGCGCTGCTGATTGACACAACTAACAATAGTGTTGCTGACGGCTGAGGAATTCGATAATCCTAATAATGACACTCACTTACTGTAGTCAAGGAACTTCTATCGAGTCCCGTTAAAAACGTATTTTTCCTCTGATTTTCCTTAATTGCTATCATGGCCGTGGTCCCCATTGCAGTTTTTCAAGCGACTTTTAGATGGCTTGTGCATAAAGGCAGAGATAAAGCAGTCGAAAAGCTAAGCGATGTAACACATAAACAATTTCGTAACATCATCATGAGTGAAATCGACGACAAGAGCTCCAAGTTGGATGGATTATCGAAAAAAGATTTGCGAGCAAGTATCAGCTTCTTTAGAGAAGGAATCGAGTTGTTGTATGAAGGATTTGACGAGATAAGGTCAAGGAGTGAGTTTGGCGCGGATACAGCACAAGCGACTTGTGCGGAAGTTGTGTCGCTCACTGAAAGAATGCGAAATTTAGAGCTTACCGAATCTGCCACAAGAAAGCTTTCTCGTGCGAAGAAGAGATTCGAACAAGCTCGTGAATGGGCAACAATAGCATTTTCAAATGAAGCACTATCAACAACTGACCGCATTTTAGCAATGCAGTACCGAGTGATGGCAACAGTATTAGAGGCAATAGAGAATCCGTCCGATGCTATAGCACCGTGTAAAGTATGTATTAAAGAGCTAAACGGTCTTCCAACGGTTCAGCAAAGCTTTAAAGTACAGCTCAAGACAGGAATCAGTGCGGTGATGGGTTTGTTTTACCAAGAAGAACGAGTAAAAATCATTTCCGGTGTCTGTCGCGTCAATCGTGTCGCCTTCGATGTCACACAAGCGATATGCAGCAGAGGGCTTCTACTCCTGGAGTGGCCCAATGTCGATACAGGAGAGGAGAAAGTTGACTTACTGCATGACAGGAGACTGGCTCTATTACTACGTGAACAAGGTATGGAGCAGTGTGATCTATCATGGACAATTGGTCAGGATGGTGAAAAGGAGCACAGGATAAAAAATCCACTAGATATCGCTACCAACTCAAGCGGGCAATATATTGTAGCCGACTATGACTTGACAATCAAGGTGTTTGACAATAGTGGCAAATTTGTGAAGTGTTTCAGACTTCCTCCTTTTATTGATGACAATGGTAAAGAGCTATCTACGGAAAACTGGAAGGTTAAACTGGCGACAGACATAAACGACAACATTTATGTGCTGGTTGAAGAAAAGAATCATCAGCGTTGGATTTTTAAGTTCGATAAATCCGCTGACCAGTATCACAAGTTTCGCGAGAGGACAATGGACCTCGAGTGCAATCTGTGTAAACTGTCAGTTAGTGATAGTGGCAAAGTGATGGTATTGAAAGGCAATTATACAAAGGACTATCATTTTGTGGATCTATACGAGACTGATGGCCAGTTTGTTTGCAGTTTTGGAGAACAAAATTTGAAGAGCCCGCGAGACATCAGCACTGTAAGTGATGGCAGAGTTATGGTGGTGGACCAAACGCCTTCCCATTGTGTACACATATTTAGCGAACTCGGTAATCATCTAAGTAAGTTTGATCTCAAAGGGTTTGTTCACTTTCCAAACATTGCATTTCACAGGGAAAGTCAACAAGTCGTCTTGGCTAGTACTGACGATGAAAAAGAGCTCCTATGTATTGGAATATACACCAAAGATGGTGAGTTTGTACGAAGCGTTTTTATCTACAAAAGTGGCTATTTCCTGTATAAGATTGCAGTGAGCACTGAAGGACGCATTGCAGCTCTAGGACCTACATACGTCAAGCTAGAGTCCGGCGTCATGGATTATAAAATAGGATATCGATTGATTGTTCTATAAAACAGATGCAAATGTTCTTGACTTGTTTCCACTTTCATTTTGCCGAATCAACTCAGGCCTTAGAAAATAACCTCCTTACTTTCTCTTGGTTTGGGCGTAAAGTTTTGAACAATCCTACTTTCAAGAGAGGTCTACTGCAAAGTGTATAATCTGATTTCGTCTTTTTTCTGGATTGTTTGCTATGTGGGTTTTCTTTTTTTCCTTAAGAAATTACTTATAAAACAGTTTAACACATAATACGTTTTAGGTAAGACACAGAATCATATACCTTGTTGGCGACGTTTTTATGCCACTTAGTCGAGTTTTTCACTTTATGTCTTTTTAGACCCTGAAACATACTCAAACGAATGTAATGTAGTTTCGGTTTTTCTTGGTGAACAAATCATATCAATTTAGGAATTTTTTTCTTTTGTAACAATCTCATTCATGGTTCTAGGCTAATCATCACTGACCCTCAACCTCATGATTTTAAGTATATTTTTTTCCAAGTTGTGATTATTAATTCACGATTTTAGCTCCCAATAATTTTCTTATACCGAGGTAAAACTAGCATGTAGCGGATATATTTGACTATTCTCATTACACATTTTTGTCGGAGGGCGTGAGGTTATTGTAAGGAGGAGCTGAATGTGATTCCCTTCTGTTAGTGAAAGGGCTGATAGACAGTTTTCTTTGGGTATATGTGTATGATTTGATATTTTAATAAGCGTGTTCATAGACCCTGTATAATTTCAGCCGTGGCATTCACCGTAATGATTCGATTTAGCGCTCGGGGCGCTTATTTACTTTTGGTACCTCAAAGGAGGGCGCTCATTCGAGGCAAGGCGGTAATTAGGGACAGGGCGCTTATCAAGGACAGGGCGCTTACCGATATTTCTTTTTTGGAAAAAGCAGAATGAGCAAAACAAAGCTTTAATGATTTTATTTGAAGAGAACCAAGAAGACTGGAAAAGGACTTGTTGTCTCTTGATCCTTCCTGACTAGAGCGACCAGCCTAGCAATCGCTGCCTTGCGTTCACCTTATTCTCTGTTTTCCCGTAGAGGGTCACATTTATGACGAGATCATTCGTTTGAAGGAACTGTGCACTCACGTGGACATAATATAAATGAAAGACTGAGACGAAGACCACTGTTTTTGCAATGAGGCTTTAAGTGAGAAATCAAAGGAAGATGAACCCCCACAGTTGATCTCAACAGTGCTATAACTAAAGCAGAATAGGGGTAGCCTTTACTGCAGGCGTCTTATGAGGGCGAGTTAACGTTAACTAGCTCGCGATCGTTTATTCAACCGGCCGTGTTTTGTTTGATGCAGGGCGGGGAAATCTTCACTCTTCCACCCCCACCCTCTTCTTATTTTTGACCGTCGACCGCCCCCTTGGTACAAATTTCTTTCCCTCCCCAGTCTTATAAACAGGTTTAGACCTTTATACCCTTAGAGTGACTAGCATCTAATTTCTCTTTACAGTATCAGCCCTGAATCACACATTAAGGTCTTGAGAATAAAGGAAATGGTCTCCAGGGAAGGAATCTTTTGATTAGCAAACAAATTCTCCTTGTCAGCACATTGGGAAATATATAAAGAACAGTGAGGAGAATTTTCATACTAATGTGAAAGGTTAAGCAGTTTGGCGAAAAAGTCGTAGAGCAGATTCCAGACCGTTGGGAAGGCAGGTAAACTAAAACAATCCCCCTTCCAAGAGAACTTTAAATATTTTCCGCAGTTCTTGTCAACTGGGACAGAGTAAGAGGAATCTCGTAAATCTTCAGATGTCGTGTAACACCCACGTGTCATAAGACAGACCGCTGAAGTCAAGCTTTCTAATTTGAAATGATTGTTTACTGATACATGGATTCAAGTTCTTCAAATTATGGATGACGCTATATTCTTCTGTTCTATTTTTGAAATGATGGTTACTAATAAATTTACTTAGGTTCTTCAAATTGAGGTTAACTCCATATCCTCCTGTCCTCCTTTTGCGAAGAAAAATCGTGGGGATGAATTCTCATGGATATTTTTGAGATTTCCCTATAACTCCTTTTCTGCTAAGTTTCTCCATCACTTAATCAACGATCCGTGTTTCCTTCGGATAAGACAGAATTTCCTTTAGAAGAAGCTCTTAATCGTGTAGGGGCGGTCAACAAACTCACATTAAAATCTTTGTACTATTTTAGGAATGTATGCATGACAAGCGATATGGCTACGAGATCATTATAAGTAGACAAAAGATTTTTATTCTTCTAACGCGTGTGCGAGGTCGTTCTGATTGCAGAGAACGATTTCAGAGAACGCCGCCGAGTTTTCTCAAAAAATGCGGAGGAACAAGAATTTGTTAGGATAAACGGCTTCGAATCCCGTTGGTCTGACTTTTCATCAGATACCGGCAATCTATTGTGGGTAGCAAGTACCACCTTTGATAAAGGGAAAGAGGTAAAGATGATAGGAAGAGCAAGAACCTTACTCACAAGTGAATAAAATGTAGGTTACAAATGGAAATGCAAACAAAGTTCCGTTTAGCGTGAATGCCTATAAGGGGGGCCGTAGACTAAAGTTTTCAATTGCAAGGAATGGGATTGTCAGTAAACCAAATAATTACGAAACGGATAAACGATTAAATGAAAACACTTTTGATGATGCATTTCGGGAACAATTGATAAGGAGCTAACGTTCATTTCCCATTTAAAGCGTGAGCAGTGAGCGAAGCGAAGGCGTGCACCCACCCCCTGACGTTATTTCCCACAAATGGCTCACAGGATCTTGGGTGAAAGAAAATTAGACTGAAATGGAGTACTCAAAACTATGGTTTGATCGCGTTCTGCAATTCGCAGTGTTTCGAAAGTTACCTGACTTATCAACAATTTAAGAGACGTACACTAAAATAGTAGGTTTTAACTGTAAGTCCGTTTTGACAATCTTTCCATAATTTGCAGTTTTTGAACAGCTCAAAATTTAAAGACACGTCACAAAACATCTTTCAGCTATGAACGGCACCGTGCTATCACGATACAAAGCCTAGTGAACGATTTCGATGACTTTAAAAGTCCACAAGGAAGGGAAAAAGTAGATGACAAATCTCTCCCAAGGATCACTTATAACATTACGAATACGTTGTGCAAATACTTGACTGCCACTCTGATTTGAGCAACGTTGGAGACTCCTTAACTAAGTGGAAAACTAAGTGGGTAGGTAAACAAAGAAATGAGGCTGATGATTGCTGAACCTAAAGCTGGCGAGATAACATCTCTATTGTATGTTAAGAAATATATTCCAATTACGAGAAAAGCTCAAATGATTTACAAATGATAACGACAATGACGAAGGTAATGATTCAACCTTTCCCGCTTTTTTTTTTCCAAAGGCTCAACGAGTCATTTTACGTCTTGAATGTGATCTAATAAATGAGGGCAAAATTCTGTTTCTTCAATTTATTTTACTTTCAAGCAACAGCTCCCCAGCAGGATACCTAAGTATTAACTGAACACCAACACAGAAATATCTTGAGCAGAGAATTTCCGGGATGAAAACATCCATTATGGTCAACCTTATGCTCTCGTAACATCCAATCACTCGTGTATGTAAGAGCACTATGTCTGTTTTTATGTGTAAGTTAATACCCACATCATTTCCCTTCACCATTTCTTTAAAATAAAATATTAAACTTGAGAAAAAGGCTCTGTCAACCAGCTGATGTTCCTTATTAACTCTTCATCACTACTAAAAGTAAAACTTAAAAACCTCGATTCAATATCCCGTACCTCAAAAGCTTAATGCAGTTATTTTTCATTTTCTTGTGCTAGCGCCTTAATAGGATAGTTCTAATTCTTCGTGTTCAGTAACCTTCTGCTTGCCGTCCCATCACAGTACTATATGCGGCATCATTAACGTTTAAAGCTGCTGGCTCATTAGTAAGATGTCATACTATTAATTCTTAACTCGATCACCTGCAATGCTTCTAAGGATGGCCAATCCTAAACCATCTTCATTTCCTAGAAAAGTGCTGCTGAGTTTTTCTATAACTCGGCAAACTAGCATTCAGTGGTTATTCAGAAAAGTATTCAAACCATCTTAGCTCCTCTAAAGACAGGTTTAAAATCTCTTCAGTAATAATCCCTTTTCGACTAACAGCTGATTGAAGAGCCAGTTCTGTCATTCCGTACTACAAAATGAGAAAAATATAGGCGCAGGCACCCTTACATAAATCAAATCTTTTCGACAGTCCTGTTTGAGTTAGATCAGTGAGTAACCTCAAGAACCGAACTTAAATATCAAAACTATTTGTAAGTTACAATTGTTTGTTTGCTGTTGTCGCTGTTCCGCATATTTTTTTCGTCAGTTTTTGAGATTATTCAGCGTCTAAATATAAGAGGTATGCTTGAGCTGGAGAAGTAGAAGAGATAACAGGATTTTAAGGATTAATACGTTTCTTTAGCTACCTTGAAATAATAATAATAATAATGATAATAATAATAATAATGATAATAATAATAATAATAATAATAATAATAATAATAATAATAAAAACATCAAAAAAGAAAAAAATATTTCTTATTTGTTCCGGGTCGATAGCGATGTAAAAATTACGAAAAAGAAAAAAACAATTACGTGAAAAGTGAGTGCTTTTTATTAGTCGGTTAGCCATCACAGAAATTATTTCTGTGATGCCGGAAAATTATTTTAAATATGTTTTTTTCCCCTTCAACTTTTGGATGACTATAAAACTTGGTTAAAGTAAGCAAAATTAGGTAATTTTTTTAAAGATACGGCTTCCAGAATGCAAAAATAAGTAAGATATAGCCTTTTAGAAAAATGGGCACGAACTTGTGAAACACCCTTTACACGAATATCCAGCTCAAACATCCTTCAGTGGTTCAAGTCCAGGTCAAGTCCAAGTGTAAATGAGTTTGAAGCTACTTGTGATGAATGTCAGCGGACAGAGCCTCCGGAATGTGAGGACTGGAACCTAGGGACGTCACAGAAAAGGGGGAATATAGACTTAATTCAAAAGAAATTTCACTGTAAAGTTGAAAAATCCTCACTTGCGAAGCGTCATACTGTAACATGCTGGTTTAAGATGTCGTAACAATAAGTTTGTAATTAGGTCGGGAAAAAAATATACAAACAAAAAAGGGTGAATCATTTTGGGAATGGGGAAAGTTATCAGAGATATTTTTCACAACTCAAAAATCTTGAGGGGCCTTTCAAGAGGGGTCCATGGGGTACTGGGGGCCGGGGGTAGAATTTATCCTCAGGATGCATCCCTAATATGTGTCCCCGGAAACAGCTCATCTACGTACCAGTCTTATCCAGAATTCTCCCGCGGTTCTCCTTTCTTTTCTCGTGCGTCAGGTGCAGGGGTCCCTGCACTAAAGAGTACACGTCGTAAGTCACGTTATCACTCAGCTCACGTTTCCCTCGGCCACTTGAAGGACATTTCATCGAGCATTTGGAACCTGGGTTGGTTGCATTGCATACAGTCACTTGGCAGTGGACGAAAACAAAGGGATGAGCACTAATGAACTTAAAGGCTTCCACGCTGAACCGCTGAGCACGAGAAGAAGGCGATGAATGATATTTCACCGTTACGTCACTTGGGCAGCTAAAGTAAAGCAAATTTCCTTGATCAAGGTGAAACTATGCCTAAGAATATCCTTAACAAAAGTTTTTTTTTTTTTAACTTATGTTGATCATCATGGAATTCAAGATTGCGAAGTGTTTCCAATTTTACTTACTTGTAACTAACTATTAGTTGCTTAGGAAAACGTCTCAAGTAACCGCAAAATAAACCAAGAGTAATTTTTCAAAAGGAGTAGAAATTAAGTGTCCAAAACATTTATCACTAAACATACCCTTTCTTTATAAACACATATTTCAGAGAATTCTTTTGATCCTGGGTGGGCGTGGCATAACATCGATCAGTCCTGACTGACAGCTTTTTGTCATCTGTTGCCACGGATACCTCAAAGTACAATCGTCTGTGCAGCTCCACAGCAACAGGGAAATCAACTTTCGTGTAAGGATTCACAAATGCCTTGTTGTGAAACATTCTCAACGACAGTGTCAAGTTCCCTTTGGCCTTTTCTCGGAGCTCAAGTGTTGTTTTAATTGGCGTCCAACCAAGCGATGAAACTATACCATGCGCTGAGTAATAGCAGCTGAACTGCACTTTTATGTCATGTACGCGTGTTACGGCACTTTTAGCGGCCACGGGTATTTTCAGTGTGTTGGAGTAGATGATAGCTGTAGGTGTATACCTGCTGGCAGTTTTACAGCCCGTCAATGATGTTGTAACGCTAAGGTGGGTCCGTCCTTCTTTGCCTTTACATTTGGTGTCCAGGAGTCGAAGATTCTTTAAATCAAGACCACGGAGGAGGGTCTTTGGGATGACAATGGTCATGGTTTTATCGCCGCAGAGGACATTTACTCCAGGAGCTTTTAGTGAAAATATACAAGTATAGTAGTATAAACATACAAAATTTTAGAATCGGATGGTACATACAATCTCGATTGGAAATATGTATAAACCAAAAAAAAACTGAAATAACTGATTCGAAACAAGTAAGTTGACACAAATTAGAACATAGGCATGCGTAGCATGCAAAAGTTAATTTTTTTGCTGTGTGGGTTGAGAGGCGACAGTTTGTATACTTAATGTTTTCAGTTTTGCAACTGAAAAGAGCATAACTTTCAAAAGAACGAAAATATCGCATCACTTCACCTTAAGAGAAAGACAGAAAAAACCTAATTTATCTGAATTCACACAGATATTTTGTGGTCTATTACCTAAATATTTCTAAGTAAAAATGAAATCGGTGCCACGCTTACTGTTGTCTACTTCGCCGCTGTTGTTTAGTCTCGTCAGCCAACGCCCTCCATTTCCCGTTGGAGAGAGAGTGCGTTGCGTGACGAGACCAAATAACGGTTGCAAAAGAAATGCTTACCGCCGTCCCTCGAACATAGAGAAAATCAAAATTATTCGTCTATAATAAGTTGCCTAAAAAAAAATTCCGCGTAATTTTACTACGAAAAGCAAATTGAAACTCTGTTGTACCTCTACTAGACCATAACCAAAGATATAATGCGATCTCGAATAAGTGAAGATACACTGAACAAGAGAAAACGATAATATTTCAAAGAGGGCTCCTTGATTAGTTGTTGCCCATCTAGACTTTGCCCTGCGTGTGAAAAATAAGTAATAAAATGCAGGTTGTTTTAAAAGGAATTAACAAGCGACTGGGTTAAGTTCAAGGTAGCTAAAGGCGAATTTTATTCGTAGAAAAAGTCAAAACGCAGGAGTAATGGAAATGATGGAAACTAAAGGCCCACCTCACCACCACGTCAGAGCGGCAAAGCTGTTACAAGGCCGATTAGCACGAACCCAGCCAGGGCTCAATTTTAATCTACCTATCTTTATTACTTTGTTCAAATGCCCTTTTGGATAATTTTCTGTTCTTTTTAGGGCATCCTATCTTAAAATTGTACACAAATAACATTATAATGAATTTTCTTTTAAAGCTTTCAGATTTCAAATCAGATTTCAAACTAACCCTGGGTTATCTTAACCCAGCTTTGAACAACCCGGCCCACGACTCACTACACTTTGATTTTGGTTCTTGTGCGTGCAAGGTTAAGCAACCCAGCCCAGCCCATACTCATACCCACTCCCAGCACCGGCGTAGGAGCAGGTGGTTAGAGAGCGCTGATTTCGCTTACGGTAAAACCTCAACAGGAATGCCATCTGAGCCCGGACTTCGCTGTAAGACAGATCAAACTAAAGGCTTTTCTTATCCCGTAATAAATTTCCTGCACCATGTTGCTGCCAGCCCAGGACAGACTGACCCGCCTCAAAAGGAAGACATTCTGGAATCTCCACTAAAGCTTAATAGCAACATTAAATAACCAAAAAAAAGTTCTAAATTTTTACAATTTAGCGTTTCCTCCAGAATCCACATTTCAGCATTACACTGGTAATCAAAACATGTACGTTTCACCCTTCTAATTTTCAGTGCCAAAACAAGTGTAAGACAACAATCATACCTACTGAGCAACCATACAACTCCATTCTTAGTGATATATGACCATACCATGCTGTTGGTCGGAGTTTAATGTAGCGAGCTTTGATGGGTGGGTTTAACTGGTGATAAACAATGCTGTCCCTGTCTTTATTTCCTTTGAATACCTACAAATACAAGCAAGTAAAATTAATAATCAGTTGCCACAGTCTCGCCATTCCTGTTGGATTATGCATGATTCTCCAATAGATTCAACAAACATTTAAAATTGTGACGTGTTTATTGCACTTGTTGTAAATATGCAAGAGAAAGTCAAGAAACACCAATTTTGTCGCAATGCCATGCAGGCTAGATAATGAACTCTTCCATTGTAGACTGCATGATTAGGCACTTAGCCCCTTGGTATTTGCACATAACTTATAGGACTACTTGCAACATATTATAACTGTTATACTGTGCAACCGTAGGCATATATTTTTACAGTTTAAAGCCAATTTCTTGATACTACATTTACCTTAGGTGAACTCTGTCCTGGTACTTTATAGAAGTAGAAGTTCACTCCATCTTCACTGTACTGCAGCTTGTATGCTGTTACCCACTGGCTCTGGGCATTCCTTCCCTGTGTTGCTATACTTGTTAATTTGGTGTAGCTGCCAAGAGCCACCTGTATCCATTGATTTTTATTGTTCTGCCGAGCTGACCATCCTCCTTGCTTGCCTCCACCAGCCTTAAAGTTCAATCTTCCCTGGATTGCTGCATGATTTCCATCCCATTGCGAAGATGCAGTGACTTGAGCATCTTTAATGCGTCGACTCTCCAAACCAAGAGGTGCCGAACATTCTTTACAGAAATAAAGAAGGTAAAAGAACAGTTTATGAGTGTGTGTTTATGTACAGAGGTATGTAGGTATGTTTGTGGGTAGGTACGTACAGTTCTATTGAAAAGTTAAAAGTTAGACAAAATTTGATTAAGCGGAAATTTTCTACCTATGTCATAATGTAGCATCTAACAATCTAGAGTTTCTTGCCATATCCATATTTCAGCATTATGCTGGTTATAATCAAAACACGTGTTTCACCCTTCCAATTTTCAGTGCCAAATAAGTTGGTGTAAGATAATAATCATACCTACTGAGCAACCATACAGCTCCATTCTTAGCGATATATGACTATACCACGATGTTGGTCGAAGTTTGATGTAGCGAGCTTTGATGGGTGGGTTTAACTGGTGATAAACAATGCTGTCTCTGTCTTTATTTCCTTTGAATACCTACAAATACATGCAAGTAAAATTAGTAGTCAGCTACCACAGTCATGCCATTCCTGTTGGATTATGCATGATTCTCCAATAGTTTCAACTACATGTAACATTTAAAATTGTAACGTGTTTATTGCACTTGTTGTAAATATGCAAGAGAAAGTCAAGAAAGACCAATTTTGAATGCCAGGCTAGATATGTGGCATTATTAACCTTTTCCATGGTAGACTGCATGATCAGGGGCTTATAAGCCCCTAATGGTCGTTGCAGATAAATAAATAGGACTACTTGCAACATATAATAACTGTTACCTGTATACTGTGCAGACATAAGAATATATTTTCAACAGTTTTAAACCAAGTAACTGCTTCTACATTTACCTTAGGTGAACTCTGTCCCAGTACTTTGTAGTAGTAGAAGTTCACTCCATCTTCACTGTACTGCAGCTTGTATGCTGTTACCCACTGGCTGTGAGCATTCCTTCCCTGTGTTGCTATACTTGTTAATTTGGTGTAACTGCCAAGAGCCACCTGTATCCATTGATTTCCATTATCCCACCGAGCTGACCATCCTCCCTGTTTACCTCCACCAGCCTTGAAGTTCAATCTTCCCTGGATTGCTGCATGATTTCTATCCCATTGTGAAGATGCAGTGATTTGAGCATCTTTGATGTGGCGACTCTCCATACCAAGAGCACTTGAACATTCTTTACAGAAATAAAGAAAGTGAAAGAGCAGTTTTATTTTACAGTCATGCAAAATATGCAATTTGTTGGCTTGACATTTTGCAGTACATCGGTTCTTGTGTAAATATAGTTACTGTAACAAGACTTCTTACCAGATAACTGCAGATGCAGAACCACACAATTCACACTCACACAATAATTATAGCAAACAGTTCTCATAATCTGAAAAATCTCACAAAATAGTAATTGAAGAATTTACTCATTTTAAAGCATGCAGGTACAGTATCCTATGTGATGGATGAGATCTATGGAAAATTCCCAGATTGCTCTCAGGGTCGTTAACTTCAAATCTAAATGAGAAATCCCCTGAATTTCATAAGTATAGCTCATCAAGAAGTCACAAAAACAATCAGACGTCTTAGCATAACTTGCACCATCCTGGGAACCAGTGACTTACTTCTAATTGCATTTTCCTTTATTGGAATAGACAGGTGTTTTTGTAAACAATTAGTGAAATAAAAACTTTGTAATTGGGGCATTTCATAGAACAGACAGTTTAGCAAATTATAATGCTTTTAGTAAATCAACTTAGAAAAAGTTTGGAAAACATGGTTGCTTTCATGTCAAACTAACCAGCTGAAACTTGTTCTTTATCAAATTAACACCAAATAGCCGAGAAAATAGAACCTCAAACTGTTTGGTTTTAATATAAATTTTTGGCCTTTTGTGAATACTGTAAAATTGGTGTGAAATACTAGTCCTTAACTAACTTAAACCTACAAGATAAGAAACATCTCAAGTAAAATATATTGTCATGTTATCCCTACAAAATGACTTTCATCATAATGCAAGCAACAAAATTTACCGCATGATGTGGAAAATAAAATGTTTGCTACCAAGTGCTTATATTTACCAGTACCAAATGTTTGGTTCACCAAAACATTTCCTTAATTTTGTACATCTTTTGTCAATCAACTGCACATCAACATCCTTACCCTTTAATTCCGTCTACAAAATCCCCCAAAATTAGAACTTTAGTTCTAGCACCCAGTTGCAATCCCTAGATAATGTTTATGTGTTAGCAGAACTGTTTGTCAATTGACAATATACATGGATGAGGAGGTACTCCAAGCATAAGCTAATGTTGATTAATGACAAAGAGTAACAGTTACCATACCTAAACAACCATACAGCTCCATCCTGAGTGATATATGATTATACCATGCTGTGGGTCTGAGTCTGATATAACGTGCTTGGATTGGTGGGTTTATTTCATGGTACACAATACTATCCCTGTCTTTATTTCCTTTAAAAACCTTAAATGATCAACATACAAAATCTAGTAAGATAAGTGATTCCCATAACAAATTAACATCATTGTATTTATCATTATTCTGTTTAGTCGAGTATTAATTGCTTATTAAATAACCCTTTAACTCCCATGATCTGGTTGTCAATTCTCACATCTCACTGTTACACATTTCCTTGTAAATTAGTTGCAAGAATTTGGTATTATACCAAGATAACAACTTCTACATGATATATTTGAGTACTCTCATTGCCTGTTTGCTGGATAGTGGATGGATATTGTTGGGAGAAGTTACATGGGAATCACTTCTGGGAGTTTAAGGGTTGAACAAAGCAATTCTTAGAAATGCAAAGCATAATCACCTACATGCCAACATTTTTTACATTATTTAGTTGTCAATATACTATTCAATTCAAATAATGATACAACATGAATATCAACAGATTTTTGTCCACTTAAAGGTTCATTTTCAACAGGTCGACTTGAGATGTATACCTAAAAAGCTTTCAATACCTGATACATGGTAATTTATGTACCTTAGGTGAACTCTGTCCTGGTACTTTATAGTAGTAGAAGTTCACTCCATCTTCACTGCACTGCAGCTTGTATGCTGTTACCCACTGGCTGTAAGCATTCCTTCCCTGTGTTGCTATACTTGTTAATTTGGTGTAACTGCCAAGAGCCACCTGTATCCATTGATTTCCATCATTCGACTGAGCTGACCATCCTCCTGTCTTGCCTCCACCAGCCTTAAAGTTCAATCTTCCCTGGATTGCTGCATGATTTCCATTGAATTGTGAAGATGCAGTGATCTGAGCATCTTTGATGTGGCGACTCTCCATACCAAGAGCACCTGAACATTCTTTACAGAAATAAAGAAAGTGAAAGAGCAGTTTTATTTTACAGTCATGCAAAATATGCAATTTGTTGGCTTGACATTTTGCAATACATCGGTTCTTGTGTAGATATAGTTACTGTAACAAGACTTCTTACCAGATAACTGCAGATGCAGAACCACACAATTCACACTCACACAATAATTATAGCAAACAGTTCTCAAAATCTGCAAAATCTTACAAAATAGTAATTGAAGAATTTACTCCTTTTAAAGCATGCAGGTACAGTATCCTATGTGATGGATGAGATCTATGGAAAATTCCCAGATTGCTCTCAGGGTCGTTAACTTCAAATCTAAATGAGAAATCCCCTGAATTTCATAAGTATAGCTCATCAAGAAGTCACAAAAACAATCAGACGTCTCAGCATAACTTGCACCATCCTGGGAACCAGTGACTTACTTCTAATTACATTTTCCTTTATTGGAATAGACAGGTGTTTTTGTAAACAATTAGTGAAATAAAAACTTTGTAATTGGGGCATTTCATAGAACAGACAGTTTAGCAAATTATAATGCTTTTAGTAAATCAACTTAGAAAAAGTTTGGAAAACATGGTTGCTTTCATGTCAAACTAACCAGCTGAAACTTGTTCTTGAGCAAATTAACACCAAATAGCCAAGAAAATAGAACCTCAAACTGTTTGGTTTTACTATAAATTTCTGGCTTTTGTGAATACTGTAAAATTGGTGTGAAATACTAGTCCTTAACTAACTTGAACCTACAAGATGAGAAACATCTCAAGTAAAATATATTGTCATGTTATCCCTACAAAATGACTTTCATCATAATGCAAGCAACAAAATTTACCGCATGATATGGAAAATAAAATGTTTACTACCAATTGCTTATATTTACCAATACCAAATGTTTGGTTCACCAAAACATTTCCTTAATTTTGTACATCTTTTGTCAATCAACTGCACATCAACATCCTTGCCCTATAATTCCGTCTACAAAATCTCCCAAAATTAGAAGTTCTCTCTTGCACCCAATTGCAATCCCTAGATGATGTTTATGTGTTAGCCCAATATCTCTAAATATTTGAAAATAATTAACAGAACTGTTTGTCAATTGACAATATACATGGATGAACAGGTACTCCAAGCATAAGTTAATGTTGATTAATGACTCAGAGTAACAGTTACCATACCTAAACAACCATACAGCTCCATCCTGAGTGATATATGACCATACCATGCTGTGGGTCTGAGTCTGATATAACGCGCTTGGATTGGTGGGCTTATTTTATGATACACAATACTATCCCTGTCTTTATTTCCTTTAAAAACCTTAAATAATCAACATACAAAATCTAGTAAGATAAGTGATTCCCATAACAAATTAACATCATTGTATTTATCATTATTCTGTTTAGTCAAGTATCAATTGCTTATTAAATAACCCTTTAACTCCCATGATCTGGTTGTCAATTCTCACATCTCACTGCTACACATTTCCTTGTAACTTAGTTGCAAGAATTTGGTATTATACCAAGATAACAACTTCTACATGATACATTTGAGTATTCTCATTACCTGTTTGCTGGATAGTGGATGGATATTGTTGGGAGAAGTTACATGGGAATCACTTCTGGGAGTTTAAGGGTTGAACAAAGCAATTCTTAGAAATGCAAAGCATAATCACCTACATGCCAACATTTTTTACATTATTTAGTTGTCAATATACTATTCAATTCAAATAATGATACAACATGAATATCAACAGATTTTTATCCACTTAAAGGTTCATTTTCTACAGGATGACTTGGGATATACCCCAAAATCTTTCAATATGTGACACATGGCAATTTATGTACCTTGGGTGAACTCTGTCCTGGTACTTTATAGTAGTAGAAGTTCACTCCATCTTCACTGTACTGCAGCTTGTATGCTGATACCCACTGGTTGAAAGCATTCCTTCCCTGTGTTGCTATACTTGTTAATTTGGTGTAACTGCCAAGAGCCACCTGGATCCATTGATTTCCATTATTCCACCGAGCTGACCATCCTCCTTGTTTACCTCCACTGGCCTTAAAGTTCAATCTTCCCTGGATTGCTGCATAATTTCTATGCCATTGTGAAGATGCAGTGATTTGAGCATCTTTGATGTGGCGACTCTCCATACCAAGAGCACTTGAACATTCTTTACATAACAAAAATAAATGATTAAAGACATATTGATAGGAATATGAGAGGAATAAAAATTATTCATAGTCCTGCCTAGAATTGTAACTGTTGCTCTAGAAATGTACTTCTTGACTTCAGTGGCAGGGGTAGATGTGTTTATAGCAATAGTCCATTTTACAGTTGTGTGCTTGGTTGCCAAACCTTTGAATAGGAATAAGGCTAAGGGTGACCTTGTTATGATACACCCCTTACTGCTTTTCAAATGTGAATTCAAAGCACAAATGATATTTTAGACCTTAAAAGGAAAGTGGCCCATTTTATCAGAAACTCTTCTTAAATGGATCTTTCAACCCTAATTTACACCTTTATACCAAATTATATTAATTATCATTATTATTATTATTATTATTATTATTATTACTATTATTTTAAATTTTATTTGGTCTTTTTTCTTTGCAACACATGTAAATATTCTTTGACCCATTGTAAATTATTATATAAATATTATTGTATTACAACAGAATAGCCTCATATTGGGGAGCCATAATTATAAAGTGTTGTATTGTATTGTATTGTAAATTACTTGGTTATCATGCTAACTAGATACTGGTCTCTATCATAACAAGGTCACTTTCAGCCTCACTCCAAATCAAAGGCTTTGTGACTCAGTGCACAACTGTAAAATGGCCTATTGTTTGAAGCATGCATGTCAAGGTGTGTTGTGGGTTAACTCTTTTTTGGCAAGATTAAATCAAACCTAAACAATCATTGCATTTTTGTATTAAGAATTGATTGATAGTGCCTTTGGCACCTTAAAGTTTAAAGTGGCATAAGTTTGTGAGAACAATTTTTCATATGACTGCAATGGAAAATGTAAAAGAAGGAGAAATTTCTTCCATACACAAGCCTTGTGTTTTATATTTGGAAATGAATCTGATCAAATAGGCGACAAAAAGTGAAAATTTTTCTTCTCAAGCACAATAATGTTATAAATAATAGGAACAAGCCTATAATCAGAAGTTATTTTGAAAACTTGTTTGAAGTGGATTTTGTATTCTGTCTGCATTCTGCAGTATTAAACATCACCAATTCCAATTGTAGCTCAGGTTACTTTCCAGATCAACATGTTTAAAACTGTATGAACCGAATAATAATTATTATCATCATTACTTGGATACTGAACATTTCTTGGGCAAATTCTATTTCAATTAAAATTGTATTTTTTTTTTCTTATTGTATAATATAATTTGGCTCTGTAACTTGTCTGACCAGGAGAGATCAAAAATTACAATACATGCATTAAACTAAATCATAAAGTTTGTTAATAATTCACTTTCATCCAAAACGAACTCGAAGAAACCAAATTATCGAACATAACGTAGTTCAAATCGCATCTTAGAAAGCACATGGACTTGTTACTACAGGATACGCTTCCAAAAGTCAAGAGAAATACGATCTTTCCACAAGTCACAGCCACAAAGTCAATTTTATACATGCCACCTACATACAACATTTCGATTCCATATCATTCGGGCACCCACGAGCTTTAAAATCAGATGCATAACGCGTTTGTCAATACCGTACCGTAAAAAAGGCTGTGGTTATTCATCTTGGTAAATAACAATAAAAGCTAAGTTTTTGCGTTTGTCTGACGATGTAGTCACGTGTGATGTAGATCGCGACGTTTCGACTGCATACTGCTGGTCTTCTTCAGGCGATGAAGACTGAAGAAGATTAGCAGTATACGCAGTCGAAACGTCGCGATGTACATCACACGTGACTACATGTCACGATTCTGTGAACTCAAAAGGGTTGTTTATTGTGCGAACTCGACTGCCGCCACGTGTGTATTCGTTGTCTGCTAACGTCTTCTAAATATAAAGATGTTTGTCCGCCCAGTGGCGTGACCGTGTAACGCAATATCACGACATCTTCCCCTTTTTACAAGGTTTACCTTCAAAAGTTAATTAATACTTAATGTTCGGTTTCGATCACTGTTCAAATCACATAAAATCGATAAAACATTGTTCTTCATTGAAATCATAAAAAGATAGAAACAGAACCCAACAACTATTTAGCGGCTCAATCATTCAATGTTCAGTTCATATGGTAATCCTGATGCCACAAAGGCGGTCGACGTCTGCGTTCTGATCGACGAGTTTCAATCCTTTGTGGCTCAAGCTCAGTTCCCATCTCATTTTCAGGTGGCATTCTCTCTGTTTTGGTCTCGCCATGGAACTCCGGTGGAGGAGGTCCTGGCTCTGTCAGATTTGGCGCCGGTTTGAGGGTAGACTCGGGCGGAGTTAGTTCTACCAGACTCATAGGTGGTGCTGTTTCCGGGGTCAGGCGCAGTTGCCGACGGTTGCGTCGGTATCGCCTGCCGCAAACTTCAACTTCATAAGACCTGTTCCCCAAGGCTTTCATGCAGGTCCCCAGACTCCATTCCTCCCTTCCGGGAAGCCGCATCCTGATGGCCTGTCCACACTTTAGTGCCTCTAAAGGGCGAAACTTTTTGTTGTATTGTTGAGCTTGTCTTTTCTTGCGCTCAGCTAATTTGGTGGCTGTTTCCTGGTGTGATGGCTGCCGCAGGAGCGTTTCATGGGTTGGTAAGAAAGTGCGTGTGCGGCGTCCCATCAGTCTCTGTACGGGTGATGTTCCTAGACCCTCTGTTGGGGTGTTGCGCCAATCAAGAAGGGCTAACAGCGGGTCTTGCCCATCCGCTTTCGCTTTCGTCATCAAGTTCTTGCAGGTCTTCACGGCATTCTCGGCGCGGCCATTTGACTGGGGGTAACGGGGGCTCGAAGTTCTATGTTCAAACTGCCATTCTCTCACGAATGCACTGAACACCGATGACGTAAACTGAGGTCCGTTGTCGGTAATAAGCACGTCTGGTATCCCATGGCGGGCGAATTGTACTTTACACGCAGCTATCACGCTAGCAGATGTGGCCACCTTAACCTCCTGGACTTCAAAGAACCCACTCCAGTAGTCGACTAGGACAAAGAAATGTTGTTGCCCAAGGTCAAAAAAATCGGCACCTAGCATCGACCAGGGACGCGACGGGATCGGATACCGTTGCAATTCCTCGCGGCACTGATCTGGCTGGTACGACTGGCAGATTGAGCATTTGGAAACAAAGTCCTTTACTTCCGAATTCATGAGGGGCCAATAGAGGACCTCCCTAGCGCGACGTAAACACCCTTCGATTCCAATATGTGATCGGTGAATTTGCTTTAACATTTCTTTTCTCAGGGAAGGGGGTACCAGCAATCGCTCCCCCAGGAATACTAGTCCCTTGTCTTCTATAAGCTCACTTCGTTTGTCATAGTAAGGCGTCAGCTCAGGGGTACAGGACTTCCTTGACACTGGCCATTCACCCTTGATTGCTCCGATTAGCTTTTGCATCACTGGGTCCCTGGCAATCTCGTTTCTGAATTCAGCGAGCCTGTATGGTGCAATCGAGAGGTTTTCTGAATGATCTATCTCGGCAAGTGTACAGATCAGACTTGTATCGTGCTTGGAGGCTTCGGTGGTGTTGCGGTATGCTCGACTCAGTGCATCTGATACCCACATAAGTTCCCCTTTTTTATACTGCACATCCAGGGAGTAATTCTGAAGGGCCATCAGCATTCTCTGGAGTCTCTTTGGTGAGTTGTGTATTGGCTTGGTAAAAACTGCCCTTAGTGGTTCGTGGTCAGACTCGATGTGTACAACTTCGCGTCCCAGTATGTATTGATTGAACTTGTCGGTTGACCACACTATGGCGAGGAGCTCTTTCTCGATTTGAGCGTAACGCGTTTCGGTGTCGGTCAGAGCTCGCGAGGCAAAGGCAACGGGCTGACCCTTTTGCATCAGTACTGCACCTAGACCCGTTATGCTGGCATCGCATTGGATTGTCACTTCTTCAGTAACATCATAGTATTTCAGTACCGGGGCCTTGGCCAAGTATTCTTTGACTGTGGTAAATGCTTTCTCATGCTGTGCAAGCCAACACCACTCGACGTCCTTGTCCTCAAGCCTTCGCAAAGGTTCTGTCATGTCGGACAGGAGTGGCAAGAATTTGGCCAGATAATTGACCATCCCCAAAAACCTCTTCAGGCCTTTCACATCAGTCGGCGGTGGCATATCCAAAATAGCTTCAACTTTGGCTGGGTCTGCCTTTAGACCATCAGGAGTCAAGAGGTGGCCCATGAAACGCACTTCGGTTTGAGATCTTTTCAGCTTGAGTTTGTTGAGCTTGAGGTTCCACTCCCGGCATTTCTTGAAGAACGCACGTTCGTTCTTTTCAAGGCTCGAGTTGACCTCTGCGTCAGTTTCGCCAAATCCAGCGATGAGGAAGTCGTCAGCGATAACTTCAACTCCTTCTAAATTTTCTACGAATTCATGCATGCGTCGCTGCCAAACTTCAGGCGCACTTGAGATACCAAAAGGCATGCGGGCCCATCTATAACGCCCAAAAGGCGTATTGAACGTTGTCAGGAAACTAGAAGCATCGTCTAAGAGGATTTGGTGGAAACCATCCTTGGCGTCACAAAGAGTAAATTTCTTGGCACCTGTTAAGCGGGAGGCCACTTCATCGATAGTCGGCAACTGGTAATGCTCTCGCCGAATGGCACGATTTAATTCTCTCGGGTCAATACAGATGCGTACTTTGTTTGGCTTCACTATGGCCAACATGCTGGATACCCACTGCGTCGGTTCTGTTACTGGAATAATAACTTTACGATCAACAAGTTCGTCCAGCTTGTTTTTGATGCGTGGACGCAAGGCTACTGGCACTCGCCTCGGTGCGTGGACAACTGGTTGCGCCTGTTCGTCTATGGCTATTTTGTATGTTCCCGGTAGGGCCCCTAATCCGTCGAATACGTCCTCATACTCTTCGAGCAAGGAGGCTTTGGGACACTTGACGTGTAATGCTAGGACGTCACAATTATGCAAACTCACAAAGCCAAGATTGAGGCTGGTGTTCAATGATAAAATCGGTTGATAGTCTCCGTCTAAGATGTTAAACTCCATTGACCTCCGCTGTCCACGGGACCACACAGGCAGGGTAGCTTTACCAGCAATTTTGCGGCGATCCCCTGTGTACGAGACTATTTCCTTTTGGCATGGTTTGAGGCGATGAAGGAGGGTGTCCCCAGTGATTTGCTTGTATAATTGGGCCGGGAGAATGTCGCACTGCGACCCAGTATCTATTTGAAACTGGACTTCTGTCTTGGAATCTGGCCCATAAATGTGGAGTTTGACCACTGCCAATTTTTCCTGGCCTTTGCTCTTACTAGTAGTAGCACCAATGTAGTAGGGGTCGTTTCCCATGTCGACGGCTTCGTGGACCGCCGAAACTCTACTTTTCACTCCTCGGGGATTAGCGCGACATTTATTCGCAAAATGATTCATACTCCCACAGTTAAAACATGTTCTTCCATACGCGGGACAATGACGTCCATGCACCATTCCGCAATTTCCACATTCTTTAGACGGTCTTCTAAATGCTTGTGACTTAAGTTGTCGTTCTTCTTCAGGTTTTTCTGCCGATCCCGCCTTCCGTAACGCATGAACTGCAGTGTCTCCTCCAGCCATTAGCTTTACTTGCTGTTGGGTCTGTTCTGACGACTTAATAATGTCAACTGCTTGTAGGAGAGATAAATCATTCAAACGGAGAAGTCTCTCGCGGACGCGATCATCCCGTATGCCTAGCACGAGGCGGTCACGTAAAATTTCATCTGGTGTGATTGTATCGTGTGCACAGTTTTTTGCGATCGTTCGAAGCTCCGTAAGATACGTCGAGATGTTTTCGCCTGGTTCCTGGTTTCGGTTGTTGAACCTATAGCGTTCATATATGACCTGTGTCCTAGGAATGCAGAATTCGTCGAACTTCTTCAGGACTTGTGAAATGTCGTCTGCGTTTTCGTCTTCGTTCCAAATAAAGGTATCGTGGGCTCTGACGCCATCCTCGCCTATAATGCTTAGTAATGTCGACACACGAACTATGCCCTCTTGTTTATATACACCAGTAGCGATTTCGTAGCGCTGCCACGCTGCTTTCCACGATTTCCATGCGGTGGCTAAATTGTCGTCAAAATTAAGCGCTTTCGGCGGGGGCAAATTTGACGGGGGAATAAAAACTTGAGTCGGCGCTGGTGGCACAACTATGGATGCTTCAGCTGCTTCTGTCATCTTTAGGGGTGAACAGATCCCACTCCTGACACCATGTCACGATTCTGTGAACTCAAAAGGGTTGTTTATTGTGCGAACTCGACTGCCGCCACGTGTGTATTCGTTGTCTGCTAAGTCTTCTAAATATAAAGATGTTTGTCCGCCCAGTGGCGTGACCGTGTAACGCAATATCACGACACTACATCGTGAGACAAACAAAAAAACTTGGCTTTTACCGAACCGTAAATAACAAAAAACTGAGAGTGAACATACAGTTTACCCACGCAAACACCTTTCCTAATTGCGGCTCCGATATTCAGCGATTCCAGATATTTTCATTACCTCAACAACTAACTCACTTACATCGATGTACGATCCAGCACCAGCTGGCATGGATTGCTAAAGTTTGTTTCATTTAAGCTATCGATATTTGCCACCATTTTCGCACCTTCTTCACAAAGCCTCCTCGAACATCGGGTTCACCTTTCCAAATCGATAAGCAATCGGCCAAACCGAGTAATACAACCGAGCTCATTCCGAGAAAAAATGTTAGTCTGAT